GATTTGCGGCACTTATGCCGATGTAGTTCCCTATATCACGTTTAATGAGCGATCGCGATGAAGCATAGGATAGGTACTTAGCTTCGCCATTAAAAATAGTGACTACTGATCCCCACCACCACGACAAGGTGTATCTCATGGGCTCGTTTAAATTTAGTCGTTGTTCGTACTGGCCAATCTCTCCTCTTGTAAATTTAACTTTATTTTAAGGTCACGCAGTTTTAAGTTTTGTGGTCCAAAAACTTCCACTATTGTTCGTATTTTCCGTAATAGTTTTTAAGTGATAAATTGTTCCTTGTAAACGAAAGTCGCCAGGAACCTTTTGTTTGCAATTGTGCTTACCTTCGCTGCCGAAAGTGCACGCAACCTTTTTCACAAGTAATACACGCCCTCGGTAATGACGGTTACCACACCAATATATAAAAACTCAAAGTGGTTCATTTTACTGCACTGGTGGATCGACGCGAATTTGAATAATACAAAATAAATCCTGCTTGCGATGAATGCTAACGACCTGACGGCTCTCAATGCGATTTGTTTCATGTTTCAATTCTAGTACACTCGTGGTTCGACGCGAATGCTCTCGCAGCTCAATCTGAATTGCCTGCCGGTTCTCTCCGAAATTCCCACTAGTTTCCTTTTTTGAGTCACCCGCATCCCGGGACTCGAACCTTTTCCACCAAACAAAACTAATTTCTCCGCCTGATCAGAACCCGTGGAATCTATAAATTTACTCCCGTTGAATCAGCAAATATTACACAACGTGCCAGCCTCGCCTGCAAAAAAAACAAAATCCCTTTCACGTTCCACGACTTCCTGGCGTCTCATGCTTTCACACGCATCAAAAAAAAAACTTAACAAAACCCCGAATAAAATAAAATCCATTAACCGGCTCCCGTTACAATTTCAACCTCCGACTCAAGTCGAGGGTTTCGGTCTATGTCCACACAGAATTTGCTCATTTAAGCTTGCGGTCTGCTTCTTCTTCATCTTCATTCTTGTTTTTCGTTTCCCGCGTTCGTCTCGGTTCTCTGTTATTGCCATCTCTAGTCATTGTTTCCGTTCTCCACTTCTGCATTAGATATTCTCTCCGTGCATGGTCTCCTGCGTCCGTTTCAGATCTTTATCTGGGTCCTCGTCGCATCCCCTGTCTCCGTTACTGGTTTCGGTCTCCATCCATGTTTATGTTTCCATCTTTGATTTCAATCCCCGTTTCACGTTGTCTGTGTCCATATTCATGATCTGTTACTGATGTTCTCCGTTCTCAAGTCTATGTTTCAGCCTTTTTTTGAGTTCCACTTTTATATTAATCTAGTACCTATATACAAGGAATTTTTGCTAGACGGCTATAGGCAACCAAATTTACACGTAATAATCACGTGAGGGATTCGAAATGTTTTTTCACCCGCACGTGTGTAAGGGAGGTACATATTGCATTGGGGTAAAAAAAACGAAATACACGTTTTGCAGTACCAGGAATCCGAATAGAACAAAATCTCAATGATGTCGATCGGTCTGTCTGTCTGGCTAAACATCAAATCCGATTGGAACCAAATTTGGTACACATATTCGTAGCCACAGCAAACCTTTTCTAATCACCACGAACTTTTCCGAACGAATTTCATTGATTTTCCGCTTATTTTAATACGGAGGGCGCCGAGAGAGGGGTCTCAAACACACAACAAGACCATGCCAGGGAAACCTTCCACGGGACAAAAACCCTGGCATAGGCCACACAAATACATGAAACAAATCACCTACAGCAATAAAATGCAAGAGAAAATACACATAAATAAAACATCACAAATTGTATGATAAAAATCAGATAATGAAATCAAATGCAATTAAACAAGTTCATAAAAACAAAATACACAAGACATCATAAATGCACTTTTTGACGGAAATACACGTTTTGCAGCACCAGGAATCCGAATAGAACAAAATCTCGATGATGTCGATCGGACTGTCTGTCCGGCTAAACGGTTGAACCGATTGGAACCGAATTTGGTACACATATTCGTAGCCACAGAAAATCTTTTCTAATCACCATGAACTTTTCCGAACGAGTTTAATTGATTTTCCGCTTATTTAAATACGGAGAGCGCCGAGAGAGGGGTCTCAAAAATTCGCAAAAGAAATTTGGTTTCGGGAATATTGGGATTTAATTTTATAACTTTTGATTGAGAAGTCTGATCTAAAAAGTACGAATTGATTTGGATTCTACGCACCAAAATTAATAAGAAAAAGTGTTTTCCCGAGAAATTTTGGTGTAGTCGATTTTTGGTAAAAAAGGAAGGTTATACACTGCCTTTTTTTGAGCCCCGAAAAAAAAATTGTCTCAGATCGACTCCGGAAAAAAAATTTTCTTATAGAATGTGGCCTGTAGAATCCATAATTTCAAACAGTTCCAAGATTGGGCTACTAGTTCAAAAGTTACAGCCCTTTGAATTTTTTTTCGAAATTGGTTTCTAGTCTATAACTTTTGATTGAGAAGTCTGATCGAAAAAGTACGAATTGATTTGGATTCTACGCACCCAAATTAATAAGAAAAAGTGTTTTCCCGAGAAATTTTGGTGTAGTCGATTTTTGGTAAAAAAGGAAGGTTATACACTGCTTTTTTTTGAGCCCCGAAAAAAAAATTGTCTTAGATCGCCCCGGAAAAAAATTTTTCTTATAGAATGTGGCCTGTAGAATCCATAATTTCAAACAGTTCCAAGATTGGGCTACTAGTTCAAAAGTTACAGGCCTTTGAATTTTCTTTCGAAATTGGTTTCTAGTCTATAACTTTTGATTGAGAAGTCTGATCGAAAAAGTACGAATTGTTTTGGATTCTACGCACCAAAATTAATAAAAAAAAGTGTTTTCCCGAGAAATTTTGGTGCAGTCGATTTTTGGTAAAAAAGGAAGGTTATACACTGCCTTTTTTTGAGCCCGAAAAAAAAAATTGTCTCAGATCGACCCGGAAAAAAAATTTTCTTATAGAATGTGGCCTGTAGAATCCATAATTTCAAACAGTTCCAAGATTGGGCTACAAGTTCAAAAGTTACAGCCCTTTGAATTTTCTTTCGAAATTGGTTTCTAGTCTATAACTTTTGATTGAGAAGTCTGATCGAAAAAGTACGAATTGGTTTGGATTCTACGCACCCAAATTAATAAGAAAAAGTGTTTTCCCGAGAAATTTTGGTGTAGTCGATTTTTGGTAAAAAAGGAAGGTATTACACTGCCTTTTTTGAGCCTCGAAAAAAAAAATTTCTGGGATCGATCCGGAAAAAAACTTTTCTTATAGAATGTGGCCTGTAGAATCCATAATTTCAAACAGTTCCAAGATTGGGCTACTAGTTCAAAAGTACAGCCCTTTGAATTTTCTTTCGAAATTGGTTTCTAGTCTATAACTTTTGATTGAGAAGTCTAATCGAAAAAGTACGAATTGTTTTGGATTCTACGCACCAAAATTAATAAGAAAAGTGTTTTCCCGAGAAATTTTGGTGTAGTCGATTTTTGGTAAAAAAGGAAGGTTATACACTGCCTTTTTTTGAGCCCCAAAAAAAAATTGTCTCAGATCGACCCGGAAAAAAAATTTTCTTATAGAATGTGGCCTGTAGAATCCATAATTTCAAACAGTTCCAAGATTGGGCTACTAGTTTAAAAGTTACAGCCCTTTTAATTTTCTTTCGAAATTGGTTTTCTAGTCTATAACTTGTGATTGAGAAGTCTGATCGAAAAAGTACGAATTGTTTTGGATTCTACGCACCAAAATTAATAAGAAAAAGTGTTTTCCCGAGAATTTTTGGTGCAGTCGATTTTTGGTAAAAAAGGAAGGTTATACACTGCCTTTTTTTGAGCCCCGAAAAAAAAATTGTCTCAGATCGACCCGGAAAAAAAAATTTTCTTATAGAATGTGGCCTGTAGAATCCATAATTTCAAACAGTTCCAAGATTGGGCTACTAGTTCAAAAGTTACAGCCCTTTGAATTTTCTTTCGAAATTGGTTTCTAGTCTATAACTTTTGATTGAGAAGTCTGATCGAAAAAGTACGAATTGTTTTGGATTCTACGCACCAAAATTAATAAGAAAAAGTGTTTTCCCGAGAAATTTTGGTGCAGTCGATTTTTGGTAAAAAAGGAAGGTTATACACTGCCTTTTTTTGAGCCCCGAAAAAAATTGTCTCAGATCGACCCGGGAAAAAATTTTTCTTATAGAATGTGGCCTGTAGAATCCATAATTTCAAACAGTTCCAAGATTGGGCTACTAGTTCAAAAGTTACAGCCCTTTGAATTTTCTTTCGAAATTGGTTTCTAGTCTATAACTTTTGATTGAGAAGTCTGATCGAAAAAGTACGAATTGTTTTGGATTCTACGCACCAAAATTAATAAGAAAAAGTGTTTTCCCGAGAAATTTTGGTGTAGTCGATTTCTTCGAAAGGAGACAGAAATTTGGACTCTTGTTTGTCATCTGTAATGTTAGTTGCCTATAGTACATTGACATGGTTCTTTTCAAAGTGCACATTAAAAAAATTCCTTAAAACTGTCTGCCACTACGGTCATGTATACACCAAACGTATGCAGCGGCGGTACGCAATTTTGAACAAAAGTGAACTGGTATATTAAGATATTGCAAATATAACAGCGCCAGAGTGGCGCACAAGAGCGGGAATATGAACACAAATTGAAAAATTAAAGATATCGCCGAATTCAAAACTCGGAAAGTCACTCAGTTCTCGAAGGGAAACAAGTATCAATTCAGAAAAATGATGTAATTAATTTATTTTAAGATTTAACAACGGTTAACGTAAGTCGCGCAGTTCGTATACCTGGCCGCGATAAAAAAATGCAATAAATTAAAGCGACTTTCCTTGTTTTTTTTAATTATCGTAATTTATGGTACTACCTACATTACCTTCATGAATCTCAAGGTGGGTGTATGGTACATTCGAACGTTAGTGAGCACGTGTTCCCAAAAAGCGTTATCCCCGAAAATTAAAAACTCATTTTCTTGTTACAGAATGGGATCTCAAGACAACAGGGCGGAAAACGCAAACTCTGGTCAGGTGTACACAATCGCAGTGAACGACAACAGGTAGAGTACCCGAGAATTGGGCTGTTACTGATTTTGAAATTGCCTAAATTTCAAAATTCTCTTGCAGCGCCTCTCAGAATCCATTCTTCATTAAACAGAAACGCTCATTGAATCACAAATTTACAGACACGATGACGCGCAAAGTCTCCGTTTTCAATCTAAAGATCCCATAGTGTTGCAGGACGGCGACAGGATTGCGCAAATTCTCAAGAATGACTGCGACGGACACGGCGGGGACGTCAAGCATCCGACAAAGTAAGCTGCGATTCGCACTGGCGCTGATTGATGAACGTTTTAAAGTTTTTCAGAGACTCTCATGCATCTGTTTAAGGGTAATGTTGGCTCGGGAATTTTTGCGATGGGCGACGCTTTTAAGAATTCGGGCGCGGTCCTGGGCAGCGTGCTCGTGCCGATTTTAGGCCTGATATGCGTGCACAGCCAGCACCTTCTGGTGAGTAGCCAGCGAACTCAACCGGGTGATTCTAGCACATTTTTGTTCAGCTGAACGCCTCACTGCATCTGCAAGAGAAGCTGAGTTTGACAAAGAATCCCGGTTTCGCGACGACCGTCGAGCTGTGTTTCGCCACCGGACCTTCCGGCCTGCAGAAGTACTCAACACTCTCTCGACGATTGGTTAATCTATTCCTGTGCTTGACGCAGTTTGGATTTTGCTGCGTCTACTTTGTGTTCATTTCGACCAACGTTAAGCAGGTGAACTTCCTCGCGCTTCGTTAACCCTCCACTAACCCATCTTTCAGATTTTGGACTACTACGGGTACGAGTACGATATTCATTTGCACATGGCGGTGGTGCTAATTCCCGTATACCTGAGTTGCTTGGTCCGCAATTTGAAATTCTTGGTCCCCTTGTCGATGTTGGCCAATATTCTAATGCTCGCCGGAATTATCATCACCTTGTACTACGCGGCCCAGCCACCAGGCGCGTCGAGGGTGGAGAATTTCGCGAGCATTGGCCAGTTGCCGCTCGCTTTTGGTACCGCCGTCTTCGCCTTTGAAGGAATTGGTTTGGTGCTACCCTTACAGAATGAAATGAAGAAGCCGAAGAAGTTCAACAGCACTTTTGGTGTGCTGAATGTTGGGATGGTGATTGTAACAATCTTGTATCTCACAGTAGGGTTAGTGTCGTACCTCAAGTATGGGGATGCCATCCATGGAAGTGTTACCCTTGACCTGCCCAAAGATGAAATGTAAGCACTTACGTGAGCACTCCATTATCTAACCAAGCGACTTTTAGATTGGCCCAATGCGTCAAGCTGATCATTTCGGTGGGAATCCTGTTCACGTTCGCTTTACAGTTTTACATTCCCATCGACCTCATGTTTCCATCTGTTCGCGAACACTTCAGTTCGCTAAAACGACCTGTGCTTGTCGAATTGGTCTTCAGGACTGTGTTCGTTTTGATTACATGTAAGTAAAAAAGCGTCTCGCACACCATGTAAACCGCATCACTTTCTAGTTGCCTTGGCAGAGATAGTCCCATTTCTGGACCTGTTTATCACACTGGTCGGCGCCTTCAGCAGTACCACCATAGCGCTGATTATTCCGCCAATTTTGGAAATGGTCACGCAGAAAATGACACCGTGGATTTTGATAAAAGACTTGTTCATTGTGATTGTGGGACTCTTAGGGTGTGTTACGGGCTCATACGAAAGTATACGATTGATAGTTAACGCATTTAAAAAGGAGTCATTGTGACAGACAGCTACGATCTCTTCTAACTTATTTTTTACCTGTAGATATTTTTTGTAATTTATTGTACTTAATAAATAATATAAATTTTTAGAATTTGATGAATTCATACGCGCTGAAAACTTGGATCGGTAAAGTACAACTTATCCAGCAAAAACTACTACACAAAATTATTAACCACGCGGTAAGTACATTTTGCGAAGGGCTACAACGCATAAAACTTAAAGGAAATTATTATTATTATTATTACACTCAAATTGAATGTTTCCGTTGTTTGTTAGGGATGGTATCAATTACAGTCCCTGGCGTTCTATTCTACGGAAATGAAAGCTTTCCACGAATGCAAAGCTACTGTATACTGAAATTCCGTAAGATGCGTAGGATCTCTTCGTCAACCGGAAAGACCTTCTACAGTTTGTCGCGTCGGGAAAATAAAAAAATTTTATATTTTCTATGTTCTTCATCGATTGATTTTCCCTCATACTTTTTTCTGCATCATTGGTTATCTCTTCCCCCCCCCCCCACTCGAAACAGCTTGAAGTCGCCATCGTGGTGGTGTAGATGATATGTCTGTTGAAATGGTCTGCCTGTTATGCATGGCCAGTTTGGGTCGCAAATCGTGGATGGCTTCTATGGCATGGGGATTCGTAAATATAAAGTAGAAGATTCCCGCGTTCGGGTGGGTCTCTGGTTCACTCCATGATCAGGGCTCTCACTAAGTACTGCGTCTCTAGGGGTTCGTAAATTACGTAGGTCAAGGAATGAAAGTACCCAATTGTTCGTATGTGGAAATAATCGAAGGGCCGTTAATCTTGTTGTTATACTCCACCCTTATGGTTAGGCAACACACCTTTACATCCGAAACAAAAATATGATATGCTCTGTATATAACCAATCGACCGTTTTGCGCAGATGCCGAATACTAGGGGATTTTCGTAACGATTCTAGGGGAAAAAAAGAGCGTGGCGGAAGGAAGCACAGACCATGGAAGGAAGAAGATGGCGACGGGGTCGATGGAAGGCGACGGGGTCGATGGAAGGCATCACGCGTTCCCGGTTTTTATTCTTGATTATTTTGGTTGTGGTGTTGTGAAGGCGTATTTACAAGTAGTAACCATTGTATTCTTTCTTGTACTAGCTAGTAATAATTGAATTTCTTGCCACAATTTGATATTATTTACCTACATTTTGCTGATTTTGCATAAACTATGATGTCTGAATCATGGCGTACTCCATGCCTTTGTTTTGGGGGGGCTCTCTTATTTGATGTTTGTTCGAGTGGTTCATTCTGTCTCCGTGAAGTAGGTACCTAATACAGTTCGATCTTTCGCTGTATCTGTTGCCTACTCGTCTCGTGCGGATTGCAGTTCTTAGCATCTTAGCAATGGGAGTAGGGGCCCTCTCATTAACATTTCCACTATTTAAAATATGTTCTGCTTGAGCGATAATCGATTTTCACATGAACACTTGCTACTGGCCATTGGCATTCTCACATGTACTTTTCGTGTCAAATAAAATGTATGTTAACTGAAGGCTGGAGTAAAACCACAACATTTAGATGTTTTCTATGTACATGCCATTTATTATTTTACGAGTTGTGTTAGCTTATGATGTCTTGTGTATTTTGTTTTTATGAACTTGTTTAATTTCATTTGATTGCTGTAGGTGATTTATTTCATGCATTTGTGTGGCCTATGCCCGGGTTTTTATTCCGTAGAAGGTTTCCCTGGAATGCTCTTGTTGTGTGCGTAATATATTTATTTGTTCTTGTCTCCCTCTCCCTCTCTATTGTTCAGAGAAATACAAACGCAATTTTGTTTAAGTAGGTACATATAAAACGTGAACAAATTAACCTTCGGCCGATGGTGACGCCACATGTGGTTTTCAAATGATTACGGAAAAATAGAACGACGATAGCTGTATTACTAAAACAGCGAAGGCCTTGTAGTGTACTTAACCCCCAGGTTCTACGCTAACTTCACACTACAAAAACATGGAAATAAACTCAATCGGGCAACGTTTAAAATGACTCCAAAACTAAACAAGATCCCGCTTAAATTTGAAAAGTGGCACGTGATCAAACATCTAAGGCAGGACCCCCCTCAACGTTAGTTGTAGACAACGCTTTGACCTGAAGCACAGTAGGGAAGGAACGTAAAATAAAACACTCAAATTGTGAAAAGTTTGTTTAATAATGATCGCAATTATTAAGATTGTGAAAGCTCGGAAATTTAAGTCGAAATAAATTACATTGCAAAAATAAACTTTGAAAATGGTACCAATACCAATAAAAAAACCTACCGTCAAATTAATATCAAATTGTGTTGTAAAATTAATTGTTTGTAATGATGTGAATGCGTAACATAAAATTATAACATCACAAAAAGTAGCCGGTAAACTTCCAGAGGTAACACAAAAGGTTAAAAACAAGTTTTGGGAATTATGGGTCAGGTAAGCAGGTACCAAGATTCTAAGAAAGGGCGAAATACACAGGATGTGGCTCATATTTGGTGCCATAAGGTCATTTTGTTAAAAGCAAGATGGAAAATTACATGGCCTTGTAGGCAAATTTAACTAAAAACCAGATATGTGGAAATTATTGAATAGCCACTCATTTATCGCACTTGATTCTAAAATGAAGAGCTTTGATTAGCGTAACCCCGCTCCTGCAAGATAGGTAACCTGCCCCTGGTTTCTGGGTTTCGAGCCTATAGCTGAATGTCGAAGACAATCACGGAATTAGGTGTCATAGCTCAATTTTGACTACAGTTTTTACCACCCCCGTGACTGCTTCATTCACGGAGAAAAGTTACAAATAACAAGTCAGTACATACATCAAACGAATCGGTAATTTCTACATATTAAAATAAAATGATCAAAACATATGTACCAAGTAATCAACATCAATAAACATAAATTAAGCAAGCATTACACCAAAAACGTAAATAATTACAAACAATAGCATAACGGTATCATAATATGTGATTCTGCATTGCGGTTAAATCAAGTAAATTTCAAAAACAAAGATTCAAACACACAAAAAATATTAAATGTGGCATACAAAACACAAATACGATATAAAGAAATGCAAAAATTACTACCTGCATTAAATATCACAAAATAACAACAAACATTTATGGAGCGACGCGTTCACGACCGCCATTCAAGACAAGATGCCAAACGTAACCCCCGTTCGTGCTCTCCAGATGACGTAAAACGCTTTCCCCTCCTAAAAATTGCGTGGTTGCCAACTCTTAAAAATGTCTGCATCGCCGTAAGTTGTATATACAGGGCGGAACCTTTCAGCCTCCTTTCAATCTTACATCTTTTTCGTAGCAATGTTCGATTTGAAAGGCAAATGCAGCGAAATCTTTGTAGGTAACGGTTGTCTCTTCGTACATGAAGTGGAAACGTAACTAGGCCAACACAAATATTTCTTCTAATCTGCACAATTGGTGTTGAAATTCTTGATCTTGATTCATGGAAAAGCACTCATGCAACAATATTTAGCACCTTTTCTACTAAAATAATAATTTAAACGTACAGCTAAATCCGCTCCATGGTCGTGTTGCATACGTTGCCCGTCTCTCTATGAATGCGAATGAATGCGAATCACACACTCGTCCGCGAAACATCACGCGCTTAATTTCGTTTAAAGTTAATTTACAAATGTAACGTTTGGTATTGCTAATTTTTATATACACGTTAATTCAAAAATATATATTCAGATATCATCTCAGTCATCAAAAGTGTCTTGATGTATTGTGAAAGTGACTGAGTTATAAACAGCGCTTAAGGGTTCTGAAAGATTATATCAATGTCAAGTGTTGTAAGGGCGCCAAAGCCCTACAATCTTAATCGCCTTAACAATTTCTCTACCAACATTTACAACATTCTTCGTATAGATAGGTAGATGAACTTGAGATCAAATCGTATTTTATTCAGGGACATGATATGAACAGTTGGCCGGATTTAAAAATTGTTAATCTATTGATCGCGAGCAATTAAATTCGAATCAAAAATGAATTACAAAATTTCACATGATGTTCTGCGGTCGAGAGGCATTTCCAAAAATGTTGTTGCTACTCGCACTACTCGTCCACGTGAACGCGTTTTATGTAAGGGAAGCCACCACCAAACCCACCACTAATTATACTTCTTTAAGCAAAATGCGTACGATGTTACTCATGAACGTACGGAAATCGAATATTACGACCCTACCTTCTCGAACCTTTCCTGCAACAACTACAAGTATAACCGAACGACGTCTACGTTTACTTTAACGGTTAAGTTGAAGATGGATCTAACTGAAGGAGATTTGGTAAAACATTGATCCACCCCTCGTGTTGTACTAAGTAATTTTTAGGTTATGGTAACGGGTCACAAATGGCTGAGTAACCGTTATCGCCTGGACATCCTGCAATTCAATGTGACAGTGAAAGAGGGTCTTCGCTTCAAATACTTTGATATAGATCGAATGATGCATTCCTGCACGACACCTCCCTTCGAATGGCCTCCCATTAAAGGGGTAAGTCCCAATTCGACACGCCTATGATTTTTGTATCGGTCGATCTAGGTGACATATACGGTAAGGAATTGGGTGCCTGACAGCACTAAGTTTCCTCCGGGCATGCCAGAAGGAAGGTGGAAAATAGCGATGCGGGTTGTAACGGTCGACGGAAAACACGTGTTTTCTGTCAACTGGTATTGCGCCTTGAAATACAAGCTTAGAATGGAATCGAAGTAATGCACGCGTTCCAACCATTGCCGCTACTTTAGATACAAGTAGAGCAGTAAATTGTAGTATTTTACTGCCAATAGTACTCAAACTCAATGTGTTATTATTCACGCTTTATTTTGGATTCAAAGGGACGACTGCACGCAACTTTGAAGGTTGACAACTGCATAATACACTAGGAAAAGGAGGTCTTGGGAGTACGCGTCCGAACATCAGACGAATCACCATGTTCCGCACGAGTGACCAGTTCCCCATCTGAGGAGTCGGATTCTGCTACTAGTAACATTCCAGTTTTGAATGCATGTGCGGTATAAGTAATGGTTCAGCATGTAATTTTTACCAAACCTGTTAATTGCACCAAATACAAGGTCAATCCTATGCTTTTTTTTCTAAGATTTTTCGGTCGCGAAAAGAGGTACTAATATTCACAACTCAGTGATAGGTACACTGCAACAGGCGAAAATGAAACAAAATTTGGATTTGATGTTGTAAATAAACTTTGCCAGTCAGCAATTTTTCAAATTAATGGCGCAGAATTGAGTTTCGTTAGGGTGCTCAGTATTAGGAAGTATACAAGGAGCTTCCATTAGCTTCAATTTCAGTAGATTCTTAACGAACTGGCGATCTATATTTTGTTAGTCAATGGCAGACCGGTTAATTACCTGTAAAAAGCTATCAGCACCAGTCTGACGGCCGATAACACAATAATGCATTTAACGTGTCCAAATCCAGATTCCGAAATTTAGGTTAGCGCCAAAATGCTTTTTAAAAAATACAAGTAACGCGACCCGTTACACAACTTTGATTCAGATCCAAGACCCCTTCTACAAATTTGTCTCTATGAAACTATCATACTATTGACAGTAAAGGTCGTGACAATCTAGTTAGCTCCAAATTACGGTTATCACAATAGGACTTTTGTCACACCAACTTTAAACATGGCGAAAAAGTTTTCAGTGGCAGAGTACGCCAAGAAATTCACAAAGCATGACCTGGAAAGGCTGGGCTTGTTCGTCGAGATGCCCTACATGAACGGGCAAGGATACGTGTCGCCCTTCGCAAGTGCGCCAGCTATTGCTATCATCGGCACTCTGTAGCAGATTGTTTCAGAGCCGAAGATCTACAAAGGCCGTGGACTTTTTGCCGGCGGTCCGAAGACCAAGTGCGGAACGATCGATGGATACTTTGACGATCAGTTTCGAAGGGTCTTCGCCGGCGAAGCGATCAGGCGACCGCTCAAGAGAGCCCAAATTGAGAAGAACAGAAAGGCCATAGGTCCAGGTGGTGGTTTACCGTTCGTGCCGCCGGGGTGCACCAAATCGCACGCCTGCCCCGGCGACTTCTTCGGCACGTTCGCCGGTAGAATCGAGGCGTTCTCGCGAGTGGCGCGACCTAAGCCGAAAACCGTAAGGGAGCCACCGAATTGTCTTACAAACCCCGCAAAAAAGGGAGGACCTGGTTATGCCGGGATTTGTTTGTCTAAATACCCCGTGCACATGTAAGTATTTTACTTCCGCCGTCGGAATTAAATGCCAACACGATTTAGGAAAGATCCGTACCGGATGAAATTGAAGCGGAAGGAACACGGAAAGAATTTAGGTGGACCCTTCGTCCTGGGCCATTATACCAATGACTATTTCGACCAAAATCCCTACTTTGAAAAAACTCATGGTCGGGTCTACATCCGACCGAAACCGAGAGCGCACGCGATAATTGGGGACGGCAAGTGGATTCCCACGGGACCCGCAAAATGGGTTTGTGCACTAGCCTGGCTTCGCCAGTAGAAACATTCAAAATGTTGCAGCAAGGAGGTTGTCACGCGGGCGCATTCTCGCGTTATCCTGAACATATGACCGATAGAAACAAGACGAGGGAAGACAAAGAACGGGCGGCAAGACGTTCGAAAAAGGGCGACCAGGGACCTGGTATTCTTCCGCAAAGTATGGCACCGAAAAGCCTTTACACGTGCTCGATTCTGACGCACAACACGGACTTCCGTGTGAATGCGACCAATTACAGGATTTACCAAGCCCAGTATACCAAAAGGATGCTGGCTCCCTTGTTTTGACACAATAAATGACTTTTTTGGCGTAAACCCTTATTCTCCCTGTGCTCCCATTCTTCTTGAAGGAGCTTCGACTTATGACATATACTCATATATGTACGGCAAGCAGTTGGGATTGATATCAAAACTAGGTATCACCTTAGACCTGTGGCGATCCCAAAATGCATCCTTCTTATATAGCATTAAAAACTAGAAGAATTATGATTAGTTTCACCTGTGGTGGGCCCTTCTCTTTGGATGCCTGATTTGAATAATCAGATTGAAATTTGTGGGAGCATACTAGGGATTCAAACACTTCGTAGAATATGACAATTCAAAAGAAACTGGAGAATGGAAGAATCCAGTGATGAATTTTATGGATAATCTGAAGGGTCCGAAAAGGAACATCGGATTTTCCAGCATGTGGGCGTACTCGAGTGATAACGTTCAAAAATTAAAACCTTTTTAATCAATTACTCGGTCCCCTGTCATCCTACAAATCTGGGACCAGTCGCAAAATGTATGATAATTAAACGCGTTTCCAACAATACCAAACATGACCCATTTTGATTACGTTTGCTGTAACGCAATTAATTAACTACGGTTAATTACGCTCACTCAATTGACCGGATTAAAATTCCGAAATTCCGTAGTCCACTTAACATCAATTGTTATGATGATGTTATGATAATTCTGTGCTTAAGTATCTGTCGACAGATCGACCGACCGACAGCATCGAGATTTTGTTTGATTCAGATTCCTGGTGCTTTAAAACGTGCGTTTCCATACAAAAGTGGGGATCATTTTTACCAGAATGCAATACTTTACTAACGTGCGAGTGGTAAAAACGGAAACGCGAGCTGCAGCAGCATTCCACCTTTTCCGTGTGAACAGCTTAAACGATCGAAAGCGTGAGATACGAGCGTCCTTCCCTACCGTGTTAACCTGGTGTATTCTACGAAAAAGGAGGAGGCTATGATATTGGTGGCAAACAGAGTTAAAATTTGCATCACTAATGCCGTTCGTTTGTTGTATCGTTATTAATTTGCTCCGATGATCACGTGACCTTATTCACACCACACTCTGTATACTCTTGTGGAACGGAAAATCGAACGCAGCTATTGTTCAACAAGCGTGAGATTAGTCACATACGAAAGAGGTTATGTCATGTATGTTTTGCCGTGTAGTGTATTTCTGTCTTTATCGTTAATTCGTTACAAAACGTTTTTTAAAAATGGAATTCGACCTGCCAGAGGTAAATAAAAACGTTTGTGAAAGTTAATAACTTCCCTTTGATTGTAGGGCGAGTTATTCGAACTATCAGAGCTGTATCCGGGGGATGATGGTGACAGTGAGGACGACTTGGAAAAAGATCTAGAGGAGGTGAGTACCGGGCCATAAGTAAGTTTTTTCACCAATTGCCGTAGGTTGATGGATTCTCCCAAGATGACATCGAGGATTATGGCGAGCGTGAGGATGACGTGGAAGTTGAAGGCGAGCAACCCCAGGTGGCGTCGCCGAACGACCGCCTCCTCAATTCGCTGAAAGAGGAGTACGGCGACACCATCTTTTACAACACAAAGGAAGAGAACGACGTAATTCTCCACTGCGAGGATTTGGAGCTGCAAAAGCTGCTAATCAAAAATCGCGTACGTGCGAAGCAATTGCGAATGCTGCACGGGAAACTATCGGGCATACTGAGGGCGTGCGTCGATAACGTCCGCCTCCACGAGGATTCCCACAAAATCCAACATCTCGGCATCCCGAAGACGGACGTGTGGAAACTCGGGACGCCGTACTTCAAAGACAGGGACTTTTTCGCGTCGCCCGAGAACCGAGACGCGGTGAAGAAACGACAGAATAAGGAGTTCTCGTTTATCAACTTCAAACGCGGTCGTCACTGGCACGACGAGCATCAGATCCTGCTGCAGAGCACGATCGAACGACTGCACTGGACCGACTGTTACGAGGATTTGCGGCACAAGGTCAGAATTTGCAAGGTGAAGTCAAAGTTCGACGACGAAAACGTCGCAATTAAGGAGGAGCTTCGCGGCTATGAAAACGAACTGAACGAAATGGAGTCCATGCCCGTCAAGTATAAAACGCCTCCGATTTTGTACGAGAATATTAATTGGTATAAGGTCGCCGATGCTTTCAAAGGTAGGACAATTTCGTGCTTTATTAAATGCTTTTTGTGTGTGTCTGTTTTTTATGCTTCTGCAACAACTATACCGGGTGATTCTTATAAGTGGCTCGCCCTTAGGTATATTTTTTGTGCTTTTTAAGGTAAAGAAATGAAAATTTTGCATTTTTCTGCAAGTTGTCTTCTGGTTTAGCCGGAAATGGACCTAAAGCTCGTATGTAGTAGGGCGTACATACAAAAATCGACACAATCTACTTATGTTATATTTTACAGTCGAGTTTATTTCTTAGTTCTTTATTCTACCACTAGAGGTCATGCAGATGTAGTTCTTGTTAAAGTCACTTGATATAGGAAGTACCGCAATCATCCGCCATTTTTGGGCAAATTTGCTGCCAACTTAAAAAAATTGACAAATAAAATCTGAATAGCTGTCATTTTTTATAACCTAACTTCATACTACTGTCATGTTTTATAAAAATATATACAGATATCTCCAAACAGGTGGAACAATCCCTAACATTAAAGTTACTAGAATCTGGTAACTTCCGCCATTTTTGGGCAAAAATCATGCGTTCTCTCTCTAACACACGAGTCCAATGGATTGCGGTACTTTCTATATTTAGTGACTTTAGTTCTTGTTGAAGTCACTAAATATAGAAAGTACCGCAATCCATTGGGCTCGTGTGTTAGAGAGAGAACGCATGATTTTTGCCCAAAAATGGCGAATCTGGTAACTTTAATGTTAGGGATTGTTTCACCTGTTTGGAGATATCTGTATATATTTTTATAAAACATGACAGTACTATGTTAGGTTATAAAAAATTACAGCTATTCAGATTTTATTTATCAATTTTTTTGAGTTGGCAGCAAATTTGCCCAAAAATGGCGGTACTTCCTATATCTAGTGACTTTAGTTCTTGTGGTTAGAAAATTTCCCTGCCACGTTGCCATCTATGCTGTAACGAAATGCGTTATTACCCTATGTGACTTAGTAAGGGTTTTAATGACGGTGTGATATGTTTGGTGGAGTTTTTCTCGTGATTTGCGGATTTTTTCTACAAGTTTAAAGCCGTTTACAGTATGTATGTATGTAATATTTGTTTTAACACTGATTTCTTTTAGACTTTTATTCTCTTTTCTTTTTGTTATTTCATTGTTATCTACCTGAATATTTCTACCTACATCGACGCCTTTGAAATTACACAGAACTTTGACGACATCGAATTTTTACGTGTAACCGACGTGACAAAAGTTAGATATTGTCTCGCATTTATATGCCGCTCTACCACTACCCTTTTTTTTTTCTTGTTGTGTTTTATCTGATTGCAGATTATTGACAGGAAGCACTATTCTGAATTCAGACCGCCAGCTGTCGTCCCGACGTACAGTTCAATGGAAGCCTAAAGTGACCAGTTGTCAGGAAATGTATGTCTATATTGCAAGCTATCAGCTAGCCCCCCCCCCCCACAAGTTTCCACTAGGTTTCACACTATCCTACACATTGCTCAAGCTTCAATAAATACTTTCAGTTCAGCCTTCGTCCGCACTAAATTCAGAAATTACTTAGTAACGAAGCGCCCAACTTAAAACGCTTCTAGATACCGGATGTTCACTGACTTCAGAAGTATATGGTGTGGTCATAACTTCGGGTAAAGTAACTTCGTAACAAGGTCATGTCCCTGGGTGTCTCAAAGTCGCGGTCTTGGGCCAAGGTCATGGCCTTCAGTTTTGCACTTTGACGCAAGGTCCCGGATTCTGGGCTACGGTCGTGGTTTTGGTATTTCCCTAGTTACGTCACAAGGGAATTTTCTTGGTGGACTATCTAAGGAGTGACTTTGTTTGTAGTTTAAGGTCATTATTAAAAAAAGAGAATTTCTCTACGAATCTTTCAATGTGGGCTGCGTATAACTTGGCTTGAATGTTGCTAAAACTAAAACAAAAAAAAACCAACGAGCGATGGTTCGAAAAAATAACGTGGACACAGGCTTTTGAAACACTGTTTCGGATATCCTATTTTGCCTGTCAAATTGGACTAAATTTGGGTTGATACCGAACAATAAATAAAAAAGTTATCATTTTTTTTAACACGCGCATTTCAATAGGGAATCAGTTTTCCACTTCCTACTGAAAAACTAGTGGAATACGAGCCCCATGTACAACCAAAAGCCCTTCTACATGCCGATAGACGTGCAGTAGCCGTCAGTGAAACATGTTTGACTGTTGTGTTTGTTAGTACCTTTGATCCTGTATGTATGGAGTCCAACTCGTATCTAGGTACCCACTCTGAACGCACCGACCGCTCACAGAATGCGCCCGAATGTCATCAACACGCCTACTGTGCATAGAATTCAGCACTGACAATGTGAACTAAACACATGAAACACAAGACGGTGATCTTTACGAGTCCGAGTTAAGAACAAACAAGTGTCAAGCAAATTAAGAACAAATCGCGGGCAGACGGGTAAATAATACGTAATGAATTTCTACTAAGTTGCTGTTAGAAATTTCCGTTCAATGGCTTAATGCCGTTCCGAGCTCAATCGGAGGTGTGGCCAATCTCGGGGTAGGATGTGGTTGGTCCACTTGGCGTAGATTTCAAATCTCCTCCTTCACATGATGTCTACGTGAAGACGGTAACACCCTTCTTTATACTATTCATTGATTTTAGCGCTGTAGAACTGATGCGACGAGCAGGAATGTACGACTCGGTAACATTAAATATATAAAGTGAACTTTCATCTGTTTTCGTCATGTCTATATAAAATGTACCACAATATACTCTTAAGCCTAGTATGTATTTAATTTAAAATACGGCCGTTTTACCTTTCATATTGTAGGTTGATTTATATTATGAGCGCGTATTTCATTCTTTATCACTTCAGTATCAATGTTAACATGTTGTATGTAGAATATGTTTCATAGAAAGAATGAGTCACCTCCACTTTCGTCTATCGCCGGTGACTATCCTTTGTCGACTTGATGGCGCCTTGATGTCGCTCAAGAAAATTCACTATAAACTATGACTGGTATCGACACAAATTCGTACAACACTGATGTAGTGGTACAGTGAATTTACATTTTTTTTTGAGAAAATGATGCAGATATGTTGTTTGGGAACGTGAAAGGGGAGGGGGGCGATTCGCGTGAGAAAAAAAAATTGTATTCTTATTTTGCAGGAGCTCGAACGCCGAACGAATGCAAAGCCTTGTGGAACATCTACCTCCATCCCCAGATAAACAAGAAGCTATGGACGGCCGAAGAGAGCGTTCAAATAAAGGGGCTGGTGAAACAGTACAACTGTCAAAATTGGGACGCAATCGCCCGCGAACTCGGAACGAACCGATCCGGCTACCTCGTGTTTCTCAACTATTTCACGAACTTGTGGAGCAAATTCAAAACGGACCGCTTTACGGAGGAGGAGGACGCGCGCATCCTGAACCTGGTCGACAAGTATCGCGTCGGCTCGTTTATACCGTGGCGAATAATCTCGACCGATTTTCGCGACCGTTCGAAGGGGCAGATTTATCATCGGTACAAGTATTATTTGTCGTCGATTCACAGGCGGGGTCCGTTCAGTGAGGCCGAGGACGCGTTGCTGTTGCACTTAGTTTCGAAGTACGGCGAGGATTTTCGTAAGTGCGCGCAGTTTCTTCCGCATAGGACGTGCGTGCAAATTCGCAATCGGTACCGGAATTCACTTTGCGGCAACGTACAGGTAAACAGAGGGAACTTTACTGTCCACGAGGATAAGGCGATCTTGGATCATGTAAAGGTAAGTTAGTGCTGGGTTTTTTTCGATCTGTACACGAACTTATAAATTAAGATGGACTGCTAATGCTGAATTGACAAATGACACATACATGGGGGCAGCCATGATGTGCACTCACTTGGCGCGAAATTCAAATCAACTAATAAACAAGCATTAATCTCACGTTTTCTAAATAAATTACTGTGACACGTGTCATTTTCCAAGGCTGCAATAGTCTCAAAACTTGAGCACTAGGAAAATTCCCCTAGAAAATAACTAAAACTCTATGTAACTGTTTGATCAGCAGTCTAGTGGGTCTGTAGTACCAATTTTGTTGACAGAGACATGGGCGGAACGACTGGCTACTAGTAGCCAACAGAATAGGAAGGAACACTTCACACGTACGCCATCGACACAGTTACCTTCAGCGATTTTTAAGTCACCCAGGTCGCACCTTGGAGAACATGCAGAGACGCAGCCACGAGTTGCTCTACCGCCACAACTTCCATCGTGACCATCGCATACGTACAATAGTAGACAGACTCAAAAATTATGAGGTGGTCAGTCTGCGTTTAATTGAAGATCTCCTTGCAAGAATCGCCCTTCCAACGTCGATCCAAGATAATCCCTGGGATAATAAGCCGAAATCTACCTTTTACGATCGTCAAATTATCAAATTTCTCAAAGGCACCTGTAAGGTCCAACGCGAGTATAAATCGTACAGAGATTCGGATGTGGCCGATTCCCGACAGCGGATTATAAAACTGTTACCGTCGCTCTTCGCCTCCCCTCGCATGCTGGAAGGTGTCAATCTTGACGAAGTGTTCGATCGTGAACGCGACATGCTCGCCACTATAACGCGAGCAGAAATCGATAGCGTTCAGATACCTTCGTCGTCGAAATACGTCATACCCCCCACTTTGAACACAATTCTCGGCCTACGAGGACTTCTAGTCAAGTATCAAATTTACAAAGAGTCGGCGGACGAACTACCGAAAGCGCCCGTAGAAACCGAGTTCGCCGACGAGCACGCGCTGTTTTCTAGTCGACTGTACGCCCTACTTAAATGGCCCAGTATTCTCTCTCAATTTTTCGCCGAGCAATTGCAAGCGGACGAACCGAAGCACGTGCCGGACCACTTGAAGCCGAAGAGGACCGTCGGCCGGCCGCGGAAGATGTTCGAAAAATCGAAGAAGAGCGCCGATGTTACTCTCGTACTGCCCCGCGACGGGAAGCGATCCGCTTCCAAAAAACCGAAAGAAAAAACGCAGACGCTCGCCTACAAGCGTATGAAGTTGGACGAGTGCGTTGACGGAGACGCGAAATATTTGAGAATGAAACTGCGCAGCAAAGAGGCCGAATGCCAAAATGGAACTTCGGATTGCGAAGTCGTGGAGGTTCACAATAGTTTATCGGTTGATGTTTCCAATCTTGCTGGTAATAAGCAGGCGTTGTTGGTGGATAGTAGCGTAATTCAAAAGTTAGGTTCCTGTAATAAAAATATTGTGATTTTAGCCAAGGATGATGTGGTCATAAAGAAAGTGTGAGCGTAATTTGGTGATAATAAAATATTTACGTTTCGAATGTTTGCTTTTCATTCATTTCGGAACACCATCCCTCTGTGAACTAACATTGTTTTGCAAAAAGTTTGTCTTATCTCTGGTCATTGCGATAAGTTTTATCCCTGCGTAAGCTAATTAGATTCAAGATAAGCAGGTGCAGCTTTTCGTTCGTAGACGCACAGAAAATTAAGGAAGAAGGAAGAAAAGAAACGGAAAGTTTACAAGTACCTATTATAATACAGCAAAGTGACTTTAACCTTTATATCGGCAAAGACACTGTTTTTGACGCCTCCTGTTGTGGTATATCCGTTTGTATTTTTAACCCCTTGCTTGCACGTAACATCCTTCAATGTGGATATGCCGCTTTAAGCTATGCTTACCGTGAGTAGCGAAATTACACTGATCACAAATAAAAATTTTTGAGAAGACGAAGATTTTTTAACTTATCCATATTGTTGGTTGTGTAATTGCACAACTAAAAACTTTGGAAATATGCGCTGGGTGCATTGATTGCAAATCAAATTTTAGCCAGTGCAGTTACTTTAGAGCCGTAAAAACTGCAGTATTGTGTGATATACTCGAATGCTAATCTCCCGCGCTAACCAAAGCGGGAAAAACAGGAACTGGGAACATCAGCGTAGTAATACAAACCATTTAAAGCTAGCTCTTATCAGACAAAAGAACCGAGTCGAAGGAAATTCTGAATCACTGTTCACAGACGTTAAAGATAGGGAGAAATCTGTAGCAAGAGAGGTAACTGGAAAACGCTAGGAAGTACCTTTTGAATTTGAATAATTTAAATCTGACGTTAATTTAATACAAAATTCGATAAGCCAAAGAATGCCCAGCTTAAATATAGATTTCAAAACAACTACACTTCTTTCCCACTTGTGAAAAATAACATTCCGAAGTCTCTTACATAAAGTACATGAAATACATTGTTAGTTAGCCGGACGTTCTCCAGTCCAGAAGGTATCTGAAGGTCCTGGATACGGTAATCTTGGACTAAAGTTGTAGATGAATGCCGCTAAGTACTTTTAACACTCCGGCATTTAACTCTGCACTGAAAAAAGGCAGATATTCGTACACAAAGAATTAAAGTCGCTAATCAATATCTAAATGAGTTTAAAGAATCAAATGAAAATTAATAACTGGTCAATCTCAAATAAATTAAAATAGGAATAAAATGTAGGTACCTACATTGAAAGCATGAAGCTGAACCGATGTAAAACAAACGGTAGGAGGAGCGAGAATCCTTATTGTCGAAGTAGTTCTTATTTTCAAAAAAGAGAAGGGGGTAGTGCGTTGTATAGTTCTCATCGGCCATGCTAGGAAGTTGTTCGAGAGGGTTGTCGCCTCCAGATAGGAAAGGCAGAATTTCTGAAGCGAAACGGGAAAAAGGGTTTAATGGAGACAGATCCCGCACTGGCTTTCACTGTCGAACAAAGTGGGCGGTCGCAAGTAGCGTTTCATAAATTCACGTCAAACATTAAAGTAACTCGCGGATCGCTGTCATTATTGGAAGAAATTGCTCTAGCTACGGTAGGCAAAATAGTGAATTTTGTAAAAAAAAAAACGTTGCGACAACCATCCCCACGGGTTGTAGAAGAAAATATAGGGGGGGGGGGGCGAAAGAGGCGAGTACGAGTTCGTTAGTCCCGTCTACGGCCTGGGGGTCGATTTTTGGCCGTACGTTTCCTTGAAAGGTATGTACTAACAACAATGGATGAAGCTGTGAATGTGTTTGTAGTAGACAATTTAGAGAATGCCGAACGCAGTTATCGCCCGAATAGGAACCGTAATCCTTGCAACCCCATAGAAGTCTTAAATGAAGCACAATTTATCAAAATGTATCAGCTACTTCTTTCCATGAGTCTTGCATTTTCTTGCACGTCAAAATCGTAGTTTGTTTCCCTGCTATTATATCGGGGTGGTTTTTAGCAAACAATACTAGCCACCCTTTTTGGTTTTGCGTGGTATTTCACCCTCGCTTTGGCGTGTCCATCGTGTTTTCAGTATTCATGCTAATCAGTGCCTAAAATATTATTTTTCTCCAACCACCTGAATAAGACGCTATTTTGTGACAGTGTTCGGTACCTAAAATTGACGTTTTGCGGATTAATCGCTTTCACCATGGCAACTGTACAAAAAGTGGATACTTTTGGTCCTAGTACCAAAAAGAAATTGACCTTGAAAGTTGGCCAATTAAAAAATTACAATCACGGAGATATGTCACATTGACATCGTTTTACATTGCAGGTTGTAAGATATTTCTATACATACAAATCAAATATTTTTGCATATTCAATGCAAGTAGGTAATGCTGTTACCTATACGTATGCATGTACATGTATTGAAAATGATTTACGCTCGCTATTTTTATTTAAACCATGTGTAACGTAATTTACATATTCGATGAACGTAATACGTATACAACCCGCCGTCGCGCGTAACGCCATCTACTTCAGACCCATTGCACTATTATCTGTCATTTTGAATTCAAAATTTGAAAAAGTTAATTGCAATTAATTTTAATTAAAACACTGTATGGTAAGTTTTTTATTTCAATACAAAATATAACAATATTAATTGTCTATACAATAGAAATGACTGAAACTGATAGGGACATCGATTGCACTCCGCCAGAGATTTTAGAAACGGCAGAACATGCTACCTCAAGATTTGCTCCCTACAAAGTCGCGAGAGGTGAGAAGTAAGAAGTAAGAACGAATAGGTTATAAGTTAACCTAAAAACTAGAGTGACATGACACGTGAGGACAAGAAAACAGAAGTTCTTATACTAGTAGTGAAACTGGACTGAATCTAATTTCAAATATAATTTGAAGTAAAGGGGGTTGGAGAAAAAATTTTATGTTTTATTCGTACAAAAAATGCGTTTTCGGGACTCGGAAGGTTGCTGGACTCCGCTAACGCGTCGTCCAGCAACTATCTTCCTCGTCCCGAAAACTGACATTTTTTGTACTAATGAAACAAATAACTATATTCTTTAATTTGAAATGACTGAGCAATATCTTCACCTCACCACCTAAGCTCAAACCCATACGTCAATGAACGTCAAATAGTCCGTTTTAGTTCTAATCAATCAATAAAGGCGACGTTGTCATATGCACTGTACGTTTCGGTTCCAGGCAGTTACGAACAGTAGTCAAAAATTGCATTTGGAAAACGTATACGTATTTAAGTCTTCGCATCTAAGCGTATACGAATAGATGCGACTGGTTTCAAAAATCGACCCCCTGGGGAAAATTAAGAAAGGGACGGCGGAAGTAACGAACCGGACGCGGCGGGGTTCCGAGAGTGTGCTCCCCCTCTCTTCGGCAGGCGTCATGGGTCAAAAGGGGTGGAATTCCACGTTCGGGTTGCTTAAAATCAAGACAATGATGAGTTCATCAGCTCGATATGGGTGGCACAAATGAACTCCTACGTAGTGCAATCGGTTCTTCTACGTGTTGGGACGTGAGACATAATCGGGAAGGGAATTAAATAAAAGGCAGAACTTTTGTGCGTAAGAAATGACAAGAACAAATAAATATATTACGCACACAACAAGACCATGCCAGGGAAACGGGACAAAAACCCCGGCATAGGCCACACAAATACATGAAATAAATCACCTACAGCAATAAAATGCGAGAGAAAATACACATAAATAAAACATCTCAAATTGTATGATAAAAATCAGATAATCAAATCAAATGCAATTAAACAAGTTCAAAGAACAAAATACACAAGACATCATAAATGCAGTGGAAAACATGATAAATCAATTCAGTACAAAAACATATCAAAATACCTGTACGATCAATTGAGATAACACAACTCGTAAAATAATAAATTGCATGTACATGGGAAACATGTAAATGGTGTGGCTCTTCTCCAGCCTTCAGTTAACATAAATTTATTTAACACGAAAAGTACATGTGAGAATGCCAATAGCAAAGTATTCATGTGAAAATCGATTATCGCTCAAGCAGAACATATTTTAAATAGAGGAAATGTGATTGAGAGGGCCCCTAAATATCTCGCCTTGCTAAGTTGCTAAGAACTGCAATCCGCACGAGACGAGTAGGCAACAGATACAGCGAAAGATCGAACTGTATTAGGTACCCACTCCACGGATACAGAATGAACCACTCGCACACACAAACATCGAAACATCAAATAGCCCCCCTCCCCTTCGTATAGCTACCGCACAAGAACTGCAGCGCGCCACGAATAAGAAAGTAACAGATACAGCGAACAATCAAACTGTGTTAGGTACTTCCCTCACGGAATAGTTACGATTCAATCGAACAGAGCAACTTCGCACTGATAATCAACTCCTCGTGAATACAGGAATAAATACTTAATAAAACAAATGAATGGTATAATCACCTGTACAGTATAACAAACAACCATGATTCAGATAACGGTACTCAAAACAAAGGCATGGAGTACGCCATGATTCAGATATCGCATCAGTTAGTGCAAAATCAGTAAAATGTAAATAATATCAAATTGTAGCAAGAAATTTGAAAGGTTCCACCCTGTATATACAGCTTACGACGATACATACATTTTTGAGAGTTGGCAACCATGCAATTTCTAGGTGGGAAAAAAAGTTGCCTGCGCCACCTAGAAAGCACAAACGGGAGTTACGTTTGGCATCTGGTCATAGAACAACAAACTTAGAATGGAAAATGTAATGTAAAAATGACGCGCCATCTCGTGTATGTTCTCAGCAGCTTTTGCGTGAATGGCGCCAAATTTAAATATTAAAATGTAAGCTACGTCCGCATTATACTAATTTCTCCAGATCTTTAACAATAACATTGGATTTGACTAGCTGAAACCTAAAAGGTAAATGAATCCAGCCAGTGAAGTCCAATTTTGTTTGTTTGTTAGGGATCCAAATAAATTCAATTTAATGCGGATGCACCTCACCAGTCAGGGCCTTCAAAGAGTACAGGGCACTTGTTTTAGAAGTAACAACTCCAATTAATCCAATCAAGGAGTTATATTTAATTTAATATGATTATACGAGTACAAGATACAAGATCAACTTCATGGAACTCTACTGTATGATGCTCTCGAGATCGCTCTAAAAACAAAACATGTAGCAATTTATTACAATTCAATTAGTGTTACCTGCTAAATATAATGTGCGAACTGCCACACGCTTTAAATCTCTTCGTGTTCCAGGTTCTAAAGCGCAGCCAGAAAAATGATGTTCACAAACCAAAAACTTTTGTGTAAATTTCTTCCACATTATATTCTAAACCAATTCTTAAAAACTTCGGGCTCCATTTTTGGGAAACGTCTTCACAATTTGTCACACAACATTTACGTTCTCGACTTGTATATGCATAATTCACTGTAATAATGAATCGTAATTACACTTAAAGCACAATTAAGCCGTCAATCAAAATTCAACTGTCATAATGGCGCACACGCACTAAAGTCACTAGATTCAGTAACTTTAACAGGAACGCTAACTATGCGCCATCTATTGAATGTTCTCCAAACTAATTATATTTGTACTCAGTTGTTCCCGTTTACGTTTCCCTTCTAAGTTTTTTGTTCTGGGCATCTGGTCTTGAATGGAGGTAGTGAACGTTTCGCTCCATAAATGTTTGTTGTTATTTTGTGTTATTTAATGCAGGTAGTAATTTTTGCATTTCTTTATATCGTATTTGTGTTTTGTATGCCGCATTTTATATTTGTTGTGTGTTTGAATCTCTGTTTTTGAAATTTACTTTGTTTAACCGCAATGCAATCATATGTGTGATACCGTTATGCTATTGTTTTTAATTGTTTACATTTTTGGTGTAATGTTTGCTTAATTTATGTTTATTGATGTTGATTACTTGGTCTTGTCCTTGAAGTTACATTCATATAAGTTTTCATTTTATTTTAATACTTATGTGGAAATTGCTGATTCGTTTGATGTATGTACTGACTTGTTGTATGTTACTAACAATTTTCTCCGTGAATGAAGCAGTCTCGGCAAGGTGGAAAAAGAAACTGTAGTCTATATTTATGTGTTAGGGCACCTAATTCCGTGCACTGTCTTCGACATCCAACTGTAGGTTCGAAACCCCGAAACCAGGGGCGGACTACCCATCTTGCAGGAGCGAGATTACGCTAATCAAAGCTTTCAGTTTAGAATCTATGTGTGATAAATGAGTGGCGATTTAATAATTTCCACATATTTTGTTTTTAGTCAAATTTGCCTACAAGGCCATGTAGTTTTCCATCTTGCTTTCAACAAAAGGACTTTATTGCACCAAAGATGAGTCACATCCTGTACTTTTAACCCTTTCTCAGAATCTTGGTACCTGCTTCTACCTGACCCATTGTCCCCAAAAACTTGCTTTTAACCTTGAGTGTAACCATCCTTGTGTATATGCATTTACTACCTTTGTTAACTACTGCTTAAACTTTTACAAAATATTTTGTTAATTAACTTTTGGACTGTTTTAATCAAACTGCAAGGTTTTTCTTACGTCGTACTCTTTTTATCCTTGGCAGTGACTTTTGCGAGAGTACGACACCTTTTGGCTTTGTTTGTTTTGTTTATATTAATGTACATCAACTAAATTTCCGGGTTTTCACAATCATAATAATTACGATCATTATTAAACAAACTTCTCACAATTTCAGTGTTTTATTTAAAATTCCTTCCCTACTGTGCTTCAGGTCAAAGCGTTGTCTACAACTAACGTAAGGAGGCCCTGCCTTAGATGTTTTATCACGTACCACTTTTCAAATTTAAGCGGGTACTTGTTTAGTTTTAGAGGGAATAGTCATTCGGGTGGCCATTTTTTAAAACGTTGCCGGGTTTATTTTATTTCCGTGTTCTTGTAGTGTGAAGTTAGCGTAGAACCTGGGGGTTAAGTACACTACAAATTCAATGATTAATAGCTAGAAGAAGAAAGAATAAAATGGTTACTACCTCTAATTACACCTTCAAAACACCACTACCAAAATAATCAAGAATAAAAAAACCGGGAACGCGTGATGCCTGCCGTCGACCTCGTCGCCATCTTCTGCATTCCCCCCTAGCTTCGTTACGAAAATCCCCTAGTATTCGTATTCGGCATCTGCGTAAAACGGTCGATTATTTGTTATATACAGAGCATATCATATTTTTGTTTCAGATGTAAAGGTGTGTTGCCTAACCATAAGGGCGGATTATCACAATGATTATCATGAAACCAATCGGCCTACGCAGCGATAACGCTCTTATCGCAATGGCCGGAGGTAATACTTTTACAAACGAATAAACTTAATCTTTTAAAACGTAATTTTTTTACAATTAAATTAATAAAATACAAGCGATTATTTAAACAAAATTAGCAACATAAATGTGGTTTCAAATACCACGATCGAAATTGTGTTCATTCTGTATTAGCGACGGAACATTTAACGTAAAAAAATTGAGTTTTACACATGTAGGGTGACCTAACGTTAAAGTATTGATAATAAACACCTATTAAGTAGTATTTCATTTGGGAATAAATCTTGAATTTTGGCTTGTATGCCTTATGGCAATCCATGGGCGTGTTGATGCTGACTATGCAAGACAATAAACGGAAAATGTTAAATAATTTCAAGCAAGGCATGGAATTATTGCTATAAGAAAAAACTCACCCTGTATATATTACCAAAATAAACAGAATTTTTGGAGAGATAGGAAGAAAGTGAAACGTCCCGCGGACTACAGCCGACAAAAACAACTAGTCTCTATATTCTTCAACAATAACTTGGGTACCTAAAAGATCATAACTGATAATCCATCGAGCGAGAGCTGGTGCTCGGTTTGATGGAAGCGAAAACTCCCCTTAGTTTCCCCCCTTGCGCCTTTCTTAGGTACGTGACGGGGTCGCATTGTTTATTTTTGGAAATGCCTTCATGTTTCTCGCCATTGTAACTGTGATATACATATTTACATTCGCATCGAGTTGCCTTAGTAATTTAAATTTCGCGCGCGCACTGTGACGAGTCACAGCCACTTGCGATTGGTCCCTTTTACATCCCCGTCTTCGCGTTTTAACGGTGCGAAATGATGCTGCTGCGTTTCTTTTAGCCTTCCGGCTTTATTTGATTATTTACAGTTAGGCGAAGTTATTTACTACAAAATTCATTCCCAGGTGATTTGGAAATTGTTATTTTCGCTTATATTAAAGGCAAAATGATTCCAATCCGATATACACGTAACCTCTTCCTGAGGGGTATGTGTGTGGTATACCTCTTCTCGTTTTTATCATTTTACATACAAATTCCTGGTAAGTTGCCCGCTTTTAAGTCAAATCGTGCGTTATCGGACGGTTTTCAGGTCTGTACGGCGATAATGGCATCCTACCGGCACGATCTCTGCTCGAGAATAACAAGTACAAGAGTTGGTCGGCGAAGGTGCACTACCAGCCGACTCTGCTGTGGCTCGCACCGTATTTGGGCCTCGACACACAGTACGCGTTGGACGTGCTAGCTTTACTGGGAAGTTTTCTCGCGTTTAGCGGGTAAGTGTCGTCTGATGAGGAATTTCGCCTAACGTATCGCTTGCAGGTTCGTTTCGCAGAAGTTTTGCACGTTGCCGCTGTTTGCCGGATTGTGGTCGCTGTACTTTTCGCTCTACCAGGTCGGGCAGGTGTTTGTCGCGGCTGAAAGGTAACTCTTTTGCCAACGTGGCACGGTTTTGTTGTGTTTATAAACGGATGTCGATGAGACACGTTGGCACACACTAGATGTGTAATGCAATGTTGGGGTTGGAGCAATTTTATTTGGTCGCGACAGGCCTTTCTTGGGGAAATTATGCCGAGGCCGTGAAGGCAAAAATAAACATCTCTACGGTATTATTATTGTGAGGGCTAAGTCATCTAATCCTCAGGATTTTTATGACTTCCCTGACTAGTTTCTAAAGTAGCTTTAGTTGAGTGAAGAACCTAAAAACTACTTTGGGGATCTCTCATAGAATTTTGTACTTTAAACGTCCATTTAGTTCATTCATGGGTATCCACTGGATATCCTTGGTAAAATTCTGATTTAAAACCAAGATCCAGTGTATTTTAGGGAGATTAATAAAGGACAGTATCGCTGATAAAAAGCTATCTACCTTTTAATCAGATAAGGAATCATCTGATTGGTTAGAATTTGAAACAATCACCAAGCTGATTGGTCGTATATTAATGGAGTGTATTAATCTTAGATAGAAGCATGGCACTTGCAGCTTTAGGTTTTTGCGTATGCCATTTTTGTTTTTTAGAAAAATATTTCAAAAACTTCTACCCCAAAATAGTGCACTATACTATACTATACACCATGTAACAATTATGTATGTATGTAAAAAAAAAGTGGGCACGAGAATTTTTTCCAAATAAATTGAATGTCTAAAATGTTTCCTGTGGAAGTTACACCCCAAAAATTTGCGCTTCTTTTTTAATTTTTTCTCAGAACCATGGCATTTTCAGCTTTACCGAGATTTTTGGGTGTGTCTTTTTTGTTCTTTATAAAAATATTTCAAAAATTCGTACCCCGAAATGGTGCACTATACTATACTATGTCTATACACCATGTAACAATTATGTATGTATGCATGTAAAAAAAAAGTGGGCGCGAGAATTTTTTCCAAATAAACTGAATGTCTAAATGTTTCCTGTGGAAGTTACACCCCAAAAATTTGCGTTTCTTTTTTAATGTTTTTCTCAGAACCATGGCATTTTCAGCTTTACCTAGGTTTTTGGGTATGCCTTTTTTGTTCTTTGTAAAAGTATTTCAAAAATTCGTACCTACCCCAAAATGGTGCAATATATTGTACAGCTTGTAACAATGATGTATGTATCTAAAAAGAGTGGGTGGTAGACACGAGCTTTTTTTCCAAATAAACTGAATGTCCTAAATGTTTCGTGTGGAAGCTACACCGCCAAAATTTGCGTTTCTTTTTTAATGTTTTTCTCAGAACCATGGCATTTTCAGCTTTACCTAGGTTTTTGGGTATGCCTTTTTTGTTCTTTGTAAAAGTATTTCAAAAATTCGTACCTACCCCAAAATGGTGCAATATATTGTACAGCTTGTAACAATGATGTATGTATCTAAAAAGAGTGGGTGGTAGACACGAGCTTTTTTTCCAAATAAACTGAATGTCCTAAATGTTTCGTGTGGAAGCTACACCGCCAAAATTTGCGTTTCTTTTTTAATTTTTTTCTTAGATAGAACCATGGCATTTGCAGCTCAACCTAGGTTTTTGGGGATGTCTTTTTTGTTCTTTGTAAAAATATTTCCAAAATTCGTACCCCAAAATGGTGCAATATACCATACAGCTTGTAACAATGATGCATGTATGTAAAAAGAGTGGGTGGTAGACAATCAACTGAATGTCTAAAATGTTTGGTGTGGAGCTACACCGCCAAAATTTGCGTTTCTTTTTTAATTTTTTTCTTAGATAGAACCATGGCATTTGTAGCTCAACCTAGGTTTTTGGGGATGTCTTTTTTGTTCTTTGTAAAATATTCCAAAAATTCCTTCTTAGATAGAACCATGGCATTTGCAGCTTTCCCAAGGTTTTTGGGTATGCCTTTTTTGTTCTTTGTAAAAATATTTCAAAAATTCATACCCCAAAATGGTGCAATATACTATACAGCTTATAACAATGATGTATGTATGTAAAAAAAAAGTGGGTGGTAGACACGAGTCTTTTTGCCAAATAAACTGAATGTCTAAAATGTTTCGTGTGGAAACTACACCCCCAAAATTTGCGTTTCTTTTTTAAATTTTTTCTTAGAATAGAACCATGGCATTTGCAGCTCAACCTAGGTTTTTGGGGATGTTTTTAATGTTCTTTGTAACATATTCCAAAAATTCTTTCTTAGATAGAACCATGGCATTCGCAGCTTTACCTAGGTTGTTGGGTATGTCTTTTGTGTTCTTTGTAAAAATATTTCATAAATTCGTACCCCAAAATGGTGCAATTATATACTATATAGCTTGTAACATTGAGGTATGTATGTATGTAAAAAAATGGGTGGTAGACGAGAGCATTTTTTCCAAATAAACTGATTGTCTAAAATGTTTCGTGTGGAAGCTACACCGCCAAGTTTTGTGTTTGTTTTTTAATTTTTTTTTAGATAGAACCATGGCATTTGCACCTCAACCTAGGTTTTTGGGGATGTTTTTGTTGTTCTTTGTAAAATATTCCAAAAATTCCTTCTTAGATAGAGCCATGGCATTTGGAGCTTAACCTAGGTTTTTGGGTATGCCTTTTTTGTTCTTTGTGAAAATTTTTCAAAAATTCGTACCCCAAAATGGTGCAATATACTATACAGCTTGTAACAATGATGTATGTATGTAAAAAAAAAAGTGGGTGGTAGACATGAGGATTTTTTACAAATAACCTGAATGTCTAAAATATTTCGTGTGGAAGCTGCACCACCAAAATTTGCGTTTCTTTTTTAATTTTTTCCTAGATAGAACCATGGCATTTGCAGCTTAACCTAGGTTTTTGGGGATATTTAATAGATGATTTTATAATATAGCAAAATTTGCATAAAAGGAACCTAATTCCTCTGCAAATTGTCTAGACTTAATAATAATAATAATGTATTATTATTATTATTATTATTATATATCCAAAAGCTCTTTTTATGACTGTTTAAGGATCTTTATTAGATTTTGAAATGTTTGCAAGGGTTTCAAAAACCGTTTAGAATTTTTGAGGTATTTGGGAGCCTTTGAAGTCATTTGGAGTTGTCAGTGCTACAGGGTGTCTAATGTTCGACACTTAAGAGTTCTCGTAATTTTTAGTGCTATCATAAAGTAATATACGACTCGTCTGTTTTTTTGGGGTAAACTTCGAATGATAAAAACGAAATTTGAAAATATTCGCTTAAGAGATACGGAGGAATATCAAAGAATTGATAATTTCATAATGATCCACAGAAAAATGTATATTAACAAAACTTTATTTATGGTTGATGAATAAACCGGCTTATAGCTCAGTGGTAGAGCATTGGGCTATAAATCCGGAGGTGTTCGAACCTGGTTTGAGGTGAATTTTTCATCTGTGGCAGAGATGGGAATTTCCTTAGATCAGGTTCGAGCATTCTGCCGGCTACTCCAAATTAGGTTTTCCTGCAGTTTTCCTAATTCGTAAGGTAAATACCGGAGTGGTATAAAACAACTTAAGACCTTCTGCAGGGGCACCTCTAAAAAGCAAAACAATAAATAAATATTTAATAATATTCAACATTGATTCCAAGAGTCCAAAAGATTTTCAAAAAATTCGGAAAACTTTTTGAAATTTCTGGTATTGAACTTTTTTGGGTCGCCACCAAGGGATGTTGCATCTTGCCCCTGGGCAAGGTCTACGAAAGTAAGCTCCAGGTACACCCAATCAGAGTAAATAACTGCTCCAAGAATTGAACGAGTTCAATAAAATAGCGCCGGTCACTTTGGACAAACTAAAACAAAATTATGGCAGCCTCCCTACCGGAAATGCGAAACAATTAACCCCCCCCCCCCTCTTTCCCGTCCCGAATGAAAAATAGATTTACGACAAAAGATCTTATGTTTCCGTTCAAACACCAAAGACAAAAAGGATCCCCTCTATATTTATTTATTTATTTTATCTATGAACATAACAGGTTGCCCCAATAACAATGTTCATGTATTAATTTTAAAAAGAAACTATTCGAAATTATAAAGAATATAAAAAAAATATGTTAAGAGTATTTCAATAAAAAAAGACAAAGGAAAACAAAAGAAAGAATAAAAAAGAAAAATGCTGTGAAAAATTTTTATTTTTTTTACAGTTCTTGAATATTGTCACACGATCTTGCAAACTGCCTTAGGGACATATAAAAAATATCTATGGTGTTATTATATATATGCACACTATTATAAAGATGTAATGTCGCTAGCAATGCAAGAGTTTTTACAATAATCTGTGTTGACGCGGGGGATATAAAATAAATTTCGAGTTCTTGATGGTACAACATTTGCAACATAGAAGTTGATTGTGCCTCTCATAGCTGTATCGTCAATCAAATTATTCAGAATTTTAAATAGAAAAATAAGAGAATGGACATTCCTTCTATGCTCCAACGTTTTTAATTGGAATAACTCTCTTATAGACTTATAAGATATCAAGAAAGGATACGTGCCATAATGCTTGTAATATACATATTTTAAGAATTTAAACTGTACACGTTCAATAAGTTGACACCCTTTAGAATTGTAGGGTTTCCAGATAATAGATGCGTACTCTAATTTGGATCTAACAAAGGCATTGTATAAAATACTTAACGTACTAATAGTTAATTGACAAGAGTTCCTTATAACTAATCCAAGGTTTCTATATGCAACCGCTGTTATTTTATGTATATGGTTTTTAAACGACAAATCACTCGCAAGTGTGACACCTAAATCAGCTGTTTCATAAACTCTTTCAACTGTGATACCATTGATATCATATTCGAAAAACATGGTATTTTTCCGCTTAGAAAATGTCAACACTTTACATTTACTTACATTAAATTCTAGTTTGAAAGCTGTACTCCAAGCAGTCAATGCTGTTAAGTCGGGTTTACCTTTTTTACCTTTTTTCGGCCATATCATGGAGGGATCGATGGTATTTCCAGCCGGCACAGCGTATTCGGTTATCTACACCCAAAAATGGAATCTTCTTTAATTAATTGCGCGGTCCGCTAACGTGCTAAAAATCTGTAACGGTCTTAACATTTAAATTCTTCTATTGAGATCCCTCACGATTTAATCGGATGCTGTTTAGTCCAAATCATTTAATCAGCTACAGCTAATTACACTTACTTAATTTGCCGGATATAATTCGTAATTCGAATTAGGTAACACCTATTGTCTCTTGAAATTTCTCAGGGCGACAAAAGACGACTCTGATACCGACGTAAACCTTGCAGTTTTAATTCTCGTTTAAAATTAACGTAGGGAACCAAAATCATCTAAAATGACTTAATGAAGAAGGACAAGTTCGGACGCAACAAAGTTAATGGAAATATCTTGACGGGAACGGTTGCAAACGGCGAATTAATTACAGGTTTTGCTTACTGTAGCGGCGACTGAAACAATTCTAGAAATAAAATCAGATACCTTTACTTTCTCTCTTCAATTCCCAAACATAAATATCTTCGGCACGACCCTTTTCGTAATGAAGCACCTCTAGATACCGGGTGTTCACATACAGAGTGGTGGCCAAAACTGGTAGGAAGATTCTTTACACCCTGGTATGCTGGGTTTTTGAAAAGAGAATTTAATATGCCACCTTTTTAGATTAAATTATACAAGGTGTTCCATTAAAAAATGGGGTTAGGTCCGATAACTTTTTTACCTGACCTCGTATACTTTTTTTTTAAACGGCAGATTATTCTACAATCGTTATACAGAAACTGTTAATATACTCGTGGGGTCATTTTGTAATTGTCAGATCTCTTAAGCTAGGAAAAGAAGTTGCGTGATAAAAAGTAAAAAGATCTGATTGTTTGCGATAAGAATTTTTGATATCAGGCAGTCAGAAGTTCTGAAGTTGTTCGTGTTAAGTGCGCAAGTTTATGCAACCCTGTTTTACAACCCCTGATTTTAGGATTTTTAGAAGAAGAAAATACTGTAATTTTAAGATTTTCTAATTTTTTAATTATCGACCGCCTGCGTACGGGGTACCTTGTAAAAACAAGTTTTGTAAACTTATCTTTATTTATTTTGTTTTTATTTGTATTTAATGTGTTTTGGAATAAAATTTCGTGTGCATTCCTTCCTACTATTCGTTTATAGACACAATGAATGAATATCACAAATAAGCTGATAGTCTGTGACGATACTAACGCCCCGTAAAGCTTTTTCAGGGACAATCTACTGCTGGAGGCCGGATTTTTATGCTTGTTAATCGCACCGTTGCTACCAGGGAGACGTAACAATACGCCGGCATATGTGAATCACGTATCCTTTTGGTTAGTACGTTGGTTGCTATTCCGGTTTCTGTTCACTACAGGCGTGGCGAAGGTCTATAACGGAAATTGGTGGGATCTTAACGGTAAGTTGCTAACGTCGTCGGCAATTTCTGATGGTTAAATTCTAGCGTTCGCGTATCACTTCGAGTCGATGGAATTACCTAGCCCACTGTCGTGGTACGCCCACCATTTACCGATATGGGTGCTGCGCATGATCACAATTTGGCATATCGTAACGCTGACTGTTCTCCCATTTTTATTCTTCGTTCCCATACGAAGCGTACGAATTAGTAGTTACTCCGTGCAGGTACGTGCGACCGGTATCTCTTCGTGGTCTGATCTGCTTGTTCCAGCTTCTCCTGCAAATATTTACGGTTCTTACGGGCAATTATAACTTCTTAAACCTGCTGATTGTGACCCTACTGCTGTCGTTGTTAGACGATAAGTTATTCTTTGGGAAATCGCAGTTTAATACGGGAAAATGGACGGCCATCTTTGGACAAATCGTGAATCTTCTCGTTCACGCCGCGTTGATTTACGCGGTTGTTGTGGTGTTCAATTTGCGATTCAGTGGCTCGCAGGTTGATGCTAAGATTGGTAAGATACTTAAAATTCATGTTAATTAAGCGCGCTTCATTTGACACCAAACACATGTCGATCTGACGCCTCTTGCTGCAATGCATTGAGGAACGTAAATCCGCTCCACTATAATTCAACAGAAATAAAATTGGTAAAAAAAATAAGTGAGCGTTAAAGATCCCCTCTAAATCTCGTACCTTTTATAAAATTTCTCACATGCGGAAAGGGAATCTCAATTAACTAGTATCAAAGCCGCTCGAAAATCTGGAACACGACTCAAACATCTCTATAAATTAGCGCGCTTGCAATGACACTAAACAGCATAATCAGACGGCGTTTGCTGCAACACATATAATTAGCTACTGGTAATTATGCTTATTGAATTGTTCCAAAACTTGGTAGTCCAGTTAATATCCATCGTTGAATATTAACATTACTTCAAACAAAATTAATATGCAATTTATTAAAAATAACCTACCAAAATGGCACGCGCCTGCTTTTATAACTTCGCTAAGTACTTTTCGCGAAAAATTTTCAACGGTAGAAAAAGATACACGCACGGTGTACTTGATAAATAAATAAATAAATAAACGATCTCGACTAGCGTATCCTTAATAGTATACCTGCATTTTTGTGGCGTGCCCGACTTTAAACAGAACGGAACGAAACTTTTAGGTTCCAAGGGATCGTGACAACCACGCTCGCTTTTCACAATACGTTCTGGTTATCGCCAGACATGCCTTTGTTCACGTTCACTATGAAGCGGTACATTTTTCGATTTATAGAAGCGAATTCAAATATCAAGTCAATTAAGAATGATTAACCACTAACTTTCCATCTTTATTTCTTTAGATATTTCCAAAGATCAACTGAGTCAAGTGGTCAAACAGAGCCTATTCGTCGCCGCCTACGTTGGACTTGCATCACTCACCCTTAAAATAGCTCGTTCCGTTTCCTACGCCGTCATGGATACGCCGGGCGTTTTCTCTAAATTCATCGCCCTCATTCGCACGATCTTTTACGCTGCGTTGGCAATGCTGATCTTCATCAGCAGCTCGGTTGGTATCTTACAGCTGCGCGCCGCCGTTACAATTAACGCGTTTCTCACCGGTAGGTGCCGCTCTCGTCTCTACATACCGCAACGAACTCGACCATCTCGCCGGCATTGCGTACCGTACATAATCGGCTGGGTAAATTGCAAATAGTCAACAACTACGTGGCACCGACGGCATCGTCGACGAAAGGAGGACGATTGGAGATCATTTTGGAAGGTGCCGATAACATCGACGGACCTTGGCTCGAATATTACTTTTTGTACAAGCCCGGAAACGTTAATCACTCGCTGCCCTTTGCAGGTAAATGCAGTATTCATTTTTTGGATATTTAGGGGAGTTACTCATTAATGATGTAATTTTAAAATGTTTGTATTTTGAGATTCTCATTTCGAACCTTTCTTGGTGTTTCTCTCAAAGATACAATTTTGATACATTAAACAATAATTGAGAGGGTAGTAGTGATGCAACAGAGCTCCTCCCGCTTCTGCATATTTTTCGCTTCCGCCTTCGATACTATTTAAACTTCCGCTTCCGCACAAAAATATGCTGTCTTCCGCTTCTGCTTCCGTTGCATCACTAGAGGATAGCGTTGCTCACTCTCTGACAGATCTTAAATTTGATGACATTTGATCAAGGTACAGGGTAAAACAACCACATTGGTTCTAGGACCTTATTCCCCACGACTTGATTGGCAAATGCATTGGGCCGCTCAATCCAATTACAAGGACCAACCGTGGCTCCTATCTCTGGTCCATCGCATGCTTCAGGGCCGCCCCGAAGTGCGTAGCCTACTAGACCGCGCTCACTCCCCGTTTCAGGGCAAACCTCCGAAATATATCCGCGGAAATTTGTACAATTACAAGTACACGCCGTGGAGCGAAAGGTAAGCTTGCCCACCCCCTTCCCATTTTCCCCCGCTCGCTTCTCTTTCCGGAGTTTTTGGCGCGTCGAATCAAATTCTAAAGTCGCAGGTGGCAATCGGCGTGGTGGAAACGTGAAAAGGTCGGCGAATACTTTCCGGCGTTCTCGAAGGACTCGGCCGCGCTCGTCGACTACCTGAAGGCCCGCAATCTGCTGCCGACCCCCGCGAAGGACGCCGTAAATCCGATTTGGAAGCAAGTCTTGGACAGCGTCAGGTACGTAACGTCCCACCTCGAGGCGACCCTCTTACTCTGGTCCGTCTTTACTGCGAGCTGCGCCATCATCACCACGACAGCGAAGTCTAGATAAGCTTTTAAGTTTCGTTTTCATACGCTTTAACAGGAAAACAAAAGCAATCTCACTTACGTTTTTGACTGAACTATGTACAACTAATTTAATTCTTTTTATACCTCTTTTTGTAAATGGTGTTGAAACGCACGAATCCCTTGAATGCATTTATTTGAGAGTATAATTGTGTAGAGGATGTGATTAGAAATTGCATTTTAGTGTTAGTGTGTCTAAACTTTTCAGTTTACTGCGTCCCACCTCTTTGATGTGTAAATTTTTAGCTGGGGCGCAGTAAATCGAAAATGCTAAAACCGATCACGGAATAATTAATTGTATTTCACGTGATAAATTGTCTTATTTTTAATATGCCTTTTTTTTAAATTCAAATTGTCTAATTGTGTTAAATAAAGTATGAAAAATGACTTATTGACGTAATGCGGAACAATAATTACTATAGGCTTGGCATTCCCGAACGAGGGTCAATTTTACCTGTCTCAAGGGTGAGACTCTACTAACAAAAAACTCTTTGGTTCAGAATCTATGTGCCAAACAGGGCGAAATGTCGCTTCTGGCACCTCCCTCGCCATCTTTACTCTATAAAATGTTGCTATAACAATGGTGGCGGCACTATTTACGACTACTTATACTTGACAATTATTGGTAATAAGCGGGAGAGTTTGAAATTTAATTAAAACGTTAATTACAAAACAATCTAATTCAAATCAAGGTTGCCTTCTCATAATCACAGGAGTATAGTATAGCTCTAGGGACTTCATTCGATTACAAGGAAGAAAAAGAGCTGTTGAAAATTCGTTTTTGTGTTGCTGAAGTTGTGTGATGATTCCCCAACCACCGTACAGTTCTGGCTCCCCGCTTGAAAACTCCTTTGGAAGGTTATCGTTTTGGAACAGTGGAGGTCAGAGAGATTCGTACCAAGGCTCTAAAGAAGATTCCGAAAGAGGCCTTTGATGCCTGGAAATCCCGCTGGAGGCGCTGTATCGATGCGGGAGAAGAATATTTTAAAAACTTAATGTTGTTGAAGGATCTGACCAATAAATTTTTTAAAATCAAATGGGTGGTATTACTCATACCCTGTATTCCTTTCGTAAATGTACCAATTTTTAGTATTGTGTCGTCGCACTGATCGCTAACCGAATTTAGAATAAATTACTTTATTTGTATTTTTTAATAATAATAAAAACACGTTAAATCATTCGTGTCGATATTATTAAATTATACAGTCTATAGTATTACACTTTAAATATCGAAGACGTTTGTGTGCGCGCCATATTTTTGGTCCGTTCGTAGTCTGATTTATTTCGTTAGAATTATTGAAAATTTACATTTGACCATCGCGGAAGTTACAATTAACGATTTCCATTTTACTGATAGTTTCGCAGTTCGTCGCTTTGAATTGAATGAAAATATTTGCCCTGGAATCTTGGGTCTCTTTGAGTTAGATACTGTTCATATTTATAGTCAACGTGCTATTTAGCAAATTCGCAGTACCACAAATTATAAAGAAAGCTACTTTAATATCCAGTGTAAAAGTGAAATTGCGATAAAGAAAACTGTCGGCAAAGTGAGATAATATTTACGTTCATTTTTGTGCCGCTAAAATTAACAGTCATTAGAGTGGAAAAGTTGACGAAAGGGATTTCCAAAATATGAAACTCAAAATTACAAGAACAAACCCTTAAAAGGGAGTTTAGGCTAGTGCTCGTTTAATTTTGCAAAATATGCACAGACCAAGAAATCGAAATCTGCAATTTAACCGGTCAAAGACATCTCATGCCAAGAGCTGCTAGCGGATTTATTCACGCAGTCCGGTTTTTAAGCGTGAAATCACTTGTCAACCACCAATGTCGTATGATTTTATAAATTTAGATCGACGGCTTTTAAGATCCATCGAATAAAGAACATTTGGAATTATTACCGTAATTGAGAGATCATAAAGTTGTTGAATCTTATGTAAAATTATTTTGTAATTTTATCTAAAGAATTTGTGATCAGTCTTTTCAGACTTCTTAATCTTGCGGAATTTAACATCGAGTTCCATTTAAAGTTCAAAATATGGAAATCAGTGGTTGGAAGGGGGAGGTGTTGGGAAATTGATCTTGTCTGTCATTCTTTTCTAAGGTCTCAACGAAAGCAACTGTTTTCTACAAACCAGGGGCTGGAACCAGAACTGGAACGGGTAGGAGGAGAGAAAAAGAAGATAAGGTACCTAATGATAAAGCCGATGAGTTAGCCTTAAAACAGGTGTTTTATGGTCCAGAGCCGGCTCTTCCACTTAAGTTGCAACTGGAATCAACTTAATAACTCAAGACATTCAAACCCAGCACAGGGCTAGGACCTGAATTTGAGGCCTAATCCAGAATTCAGGTCTGAGTCTAGGAGAAGGTTAGTGGTATAAACCACTGCAATAATCCTGTCTCTGTACAGTATGTGTACATGGTGTTGCCTGCTCGTACTATGAAGTTTTGCTAGCAGAAACTAGTGTTAATTTTTTCTTGTTAATCCAATGCTCAAGTTGTACGCGGGTTGCCTCACGGGTGATTAGCTTAAACTGTTTTTTACCGCTCGACGCGAACGCTGTCGTGGCTTAACGCGCATTTCCCCACGGCATAATGTAGTGTTTCTAGGGGTCTATCAAGCCGACACTGAAAACGTTGCCTTACCCTATACTTACTTTTGCCAACTCTGGCAAAAAAAATCTACAAGCAAATCGAAACGATGGATGTTTCGCGGCACTTTTGAATTTGGATGACAGTCGGCTCGATATGGATGGCCGTGGCACGAATGAACTCCTACGTTGTGTAATCGGTTCTTGTATGTGTTGGGACGTGAGACATAATCGGGAAGGGAATTAAATAAAAGACAGAACTTTTGTGCGTAAGAAATGACAAGAACAAATAAATATATTACGCACACTACAAGACCATGCCAGGGAAACCTTCTACGGGACAAAAACCCAGGCATAGGCCACACAAATACATGAAATAAATCACATAGAGCAATAAAATGCAAGAGAAAATTCACATAAATAAAACATCTCAAATTGTATGATAAAAATCAGATAATCAAATCAAATGCAATTAAACAAGTTCACAAAAACAAAATACACAAGGCATCATAAATGCAGTGGAAAATCTGATAAATCAATTCAGTACAAAAACATCAAATTACCTCTACGATCGATGTAAAATGTAAATAATATCAAATTGTGGCAAGAAATTCAATTATTAATAGCTAGTACAAGAAAGAATAAAATAGTTACTACCTGTAAATACACCTTCAAAACACCACAACCAAAATAATCAAGAATAAAAACCGGGAACGCGCGATGCCTTCCGTCGACCTCGTCGCGATCTTCATTCCCCCCTAGCTTCGTTACGAAAATCCCCTAGTATTGGGCATCTGCGCAAAACGGTCGATTGGTTATATACAGAGCATATATCATATTTTTGTTGCAGTAAAAGTGTGTTGCCTAACCATAAGGGTGGATTATCACAATACCAATACCCTAATTTTCTGATTTTCATTCGTGCTGGGACGTACAACCTCCACCGATGAAACTCATTTTTTCTAGCCCTTCACACATACAAATGTTGCGCCACGTCAATCAAGTTTACACAAACTCGGCATAAAAGAACACTAGGCGACGAATTTGATTTTTGTAAAAATTTTACGTAGTTTCCACGACTTCTTGGCGTCACTAGTCTTCACACGCATTTTTTAACTGGCCTGGGTCGAAAATCGAACTAAATGAAGTAAAATTCGAATCGTAATGGAACGAATATGTACAGGGTGTGGTGTAATTCAAAATTATTTACTACTAAGCGATCTAGAGATTATTCCTTGAACGCGTTAACAATCAATTGTATACTTTCGAAGGAGCCCGTGACACACCCCAGCAAGCCAACAACGACAATGAACGCGTCCTTTAACAGAATCCACGGGGTAATTCTTCTCGTGATCAATTCCAAAATGGGAGGAACGATTAGTGCAATCGTGGTACTGCTGAACGCCCCCACCAGCGTGATAAACAGGTCCAGAAATGGGATTAGCTCGGCCAAGGTAACTGAAAAGTGATGCGTTTCACGTTGTGCTGAATTACACTTTTGTACTTACATGTAATCAAAACGAACACCGTCCTGAACACCAATTCGACTAGTACAGGCCGTTGCCTGAAATGTTCACGCACGGTTGGTAGCATAAGATCGATGGGAATGTAAAACTGCAACGCGAATGTTAGCAGGACTCCTGTCGAAATAATCATTTTAACACATTGGGCCAAACTATTAGGATATGCATGGTTAGATAATAGATCAACGACGGGGCCGTCTTACACTTCATTCTTTGGCAGATTTAGGGTGACACTTCCGTGGATGTCATCTCCGTACTTGAGATACGACAGTAAGCCCACCGCGAAGAAGAAGACCGTTACAATAACCATTCCGACATTCAGCACACCGAAAGTGCTGTCGAATTTGTGCGGCATTTTCATTGCGTTTTGCAACGGCAGTACCAAACCAATTCCTTCGTAGGCGTACACGGCGGTACCGAAAGCGAGCGGCAATTGTCCGATACGCGCGAAGTTAACCACGTTGAAAGCACTAGGCGGCCTTGCCGCATAGTACAAGGTGATAATAACTCCGGACACCATCAGAATATTAGCCAAGGTTGATAAGGGTGCTAGGAATTTTAAATTACGGACCATACAAGTTAAATATATTGGAATAAGCACTCCTGCCATGTGAAGGTGAATGCTGTACTCGTACCCGTAAGAGTCAATAATCTGGAAGGTAGAAATAAGTGAACGCGGCGCAGACTACTCGAACTTCACCTGCTTGAGGTTTCTCGAAATGAAGACGAAGTAGACGCAGCAGAACCCCAACTGCGTCAAGCACAGGAATAGGTTCACCAGCCGTCGGGAGACCGTCGCGTATTTCTGCAGACGTAGATGTCCTGTGGCGAAACACAGCTCGACCGTCGTCGCAAAACCCGGATTCCTCTTCAGGTTCAACTTGTCTTGCAAATGCAGGGAGGCGTTCAGCTAAAACCAGCCAATCGAACGCGAACGCTTTGCTAAAGACTTACCAAAAGATGCTGGCTGTGCACGCATATGAGCCCTAAGAGCGGCAAAAGAAAGCTGCCCAGTACGACGCCCGAGTTTTTAAACGCGTCGCCCATGGCGAACATACCAGGACCGACATTGCCCCTAAACAGGTGCATCAGTGTCTCTAAAAAACTTTAAGCGCGTTACAGTCCCAGTAAACCTTGAAAGACTTACCTTGTTGGATGGTTTGTGCCGTTGCCGTGTCCGCTGCAGTCATTTTTTAGAATTCGGGCGATCCGATCTTCTCCAAGCGTCGATGTGGGGTCTTTAGTTAGAAAACGGTGGCTCTGGACGTTATCGTGCCTAAAATATGCGATCCTCCATTGATATATGCGTCTCTACAAAATCAATGCGAATTGATCTTTCAATTACCTGTTCTGGTTCATTGTGGGGGCGTGCAGCTCTTCTGCCTTGATCTTGCGTGCTACGAATCTGTAACAACAAAAACGCGCATTTTCCTTTTTTTTTGAAGTATTAGTTTTAGGGACGCGGGACTCCAAAGTTTCGTTGGTTCTGTTTTCAATTTAATATAAATAGCTGAACGTGCGGCTAGCCCGGGGAGGGGAAGGTGCTACGCACGAATTTAATAGAGAAATAGTACCTACATATTACGTGTTGAATTGTACATTCATTATGCAAATGATCCGCGACACGAAGGTTAATCCATTTAACAAATGAAGTATTAATTTTCTCGACCGAGGAATTCGAATTATATGTCGTAAGTAATACGCGTTGCGGTATTAGCAACCAAATGGTACGTCGGTTCATATAAATCGCACAATTCTTAATCACGTGATTACCACAGCGATGATGTAGCAAAAGAAAACTAAAGAGTGCCTTGGATTTGATGGGATTTTAAATAAAATAGACTTGTGGCACGTTTTAGAAACCATCTCGAAGATTATTTACAAACTTTCATTAATACTTCTGCTTTGGTGACGGCGATACATGATGTGCAGTCGAGGACATCTGGGCGCCATCCCCGAGCGTGTTATACTAAGGTGGTGATTTTTCTCCTTCAGTTTCGGTCCGATCGTTTTCAAATTGCTGTCGACGGAAAGATCTTGTAAACGCGCACTATTCCTGCGTGACGGAATTTCGTTTTTTCCTAGGGACAAAATTAATCACCTTTTGTAAGGTGCGCGTCTTCGAGGTTTCTCGGAACCTTACGGTCCTTAAATAAAACCCGTTTAAGATGCTAGAAGCATTAGATTGCTCTGGCAATCACGTAGATTCAGATTTCCTTGTTGTGTCACTACCAGAACCTTTTAGAGAAATATCTTAGTTCGTTCCAAAGTATTTGAGGTCGTGTCTGGCATTGATCACGAAGAGATTTGGAAAATACTGAAATCCTCTTGGGAGCAATTAAAAGGATTGAAGATGCCTCTGCAAATTTTTTAAGGGAACTATGCAGAGTAAAAAAACGTTCTTACCAATTTAAATTCCGTTTAATCTCTTCCAAATATACTTTCATTTAAATTCTTACGCCACCTATTGTATTTCCTTTGCAAACGCGTTTAGTTAAGAGTTATTTCTGTAGTAAATTTATTATTAGCTTAGTTCTTTATTTTCGCCGCTAGAGACCACTACCGCATGTTGGAAACTTCCACCGCCATCTTCGTGATACCTGGTGACCGACTTAGTAGATAAGGCAGAAAAGCGCCCTTCTGAGCTCAAAATGCTGCTACAACCAAAGTTCAACGGCAATGTTTTTTTTTTCAACGACTCTTATATAACGTTTTCGATACAATCGAATTGGAATTACTACCTTTGATAGTCATTTAACAATCATGGTTCGGTTGTTTTCTGCGGAGCTTGTTTCGATTTTAATAATTTACCTGACTACAAGTATCTCGTAATTTTGTTAAATTTGCTCAAAGTGAACGTAAAAAATCGCTTTCCCGAGCAGTCTGGCATTTTTCTACAGTCTTTTGGAAACAATTCTAGCCGTCTTCTGCACCGTTTCAAATGCAAGAAAAGACGCTGGAAAGTGCTTGAAACTTTTGGAACACTTTAAATGTTCGTTTGGAAACGTTGGCAGCGCCTTCTAGTGTTTTTCAGTGGTGTAAATGTGCATGGTCAAGAGGGAGATAGTGCTGAATCGTTTGGATATAGCAGAATAAAAAACTGATATTGAATATATTACATAATCAAATTTAAAAGAAAAAGTAAGAGCTTTCTACTTACACAATTTATTGCCACACAACGCGTCACTCTCTATTACACGCACAAACGTGCTTTAAATTTAGTTTAAACCCCTCAACGTACCTAAACCATATCAGTCTTAAACAAACAAGTGAAATGATACAACGTCATATTTCAAATATTTCTACTTGTTCAATTATCTAATCACTCATTTACCTGTCTTTACAGATAAAACTTAAATTAGGAAACGCACAATATTTAGCGAAAATCATAACGCCGCTGCCGGTACAATGGCCCATATGAATAAAAGGAAGCAAATGCTTATACTTGCAAAATTCAAAGTAAATACTCGTAATTGCTCCTTCACACTGGGCGATTTAGCAGCGCTGCTGAACAGCAGGACAGGACGCAGTGCAGCGCTGCTAAACCATGCTAAACAGACCAGTATGAAGGGGCAGTTATGAGTATTTACTTTGAATTTTGTAAGTATAAGCATTTGCTTCCTTTTATTCATACGGCCCATTGACTGCTCCCCAATATTGTAGTGTACGCAACACATGGCATACGTGTATTGTGTGTTGCCTACTTTCTAATTTGAATTTTCGATGCAACATCGCGGCTGTCTATAGTCACTGTGTACCTAACAACAGTGGTGTATAGAGACAATGGCGACAATAGAGTGTCTAATTTTTTATTGCTCGTTAAGATCGGCGGCCATGTTGCTGTAATCCTTTTTAGGTTATGCCATATGTGTTAATTTAATTACCTCTCTTTGTTTTATCTATATCGCAATCCGAAACCCATTTATTAATGGAGTACAATGTAGTTTTTGGTTCTTTGTACGTTACGAGCATTGCGGTGATTGCATTAAAGAAGTGCAGTGTTCTGGATGAAATGCAAATACTCGATTTCGAATTGAAGAGTGTTATATCGTTACCGTTAACGCGAGGTAATTCAGTTAGAGAATTTGCTTATCTTTCTGTCTATAGGTATACCTACTTTATAGGTGATCATCTGTGCTGAACATTTGCGTTCAGTTAAGAGTATCCCTGCTCAGAATCGCTCATTTATTTAATGTTTTATGCAATCAAACGTGCTAATTTGTTTACTGTTTTGGCGTGACTTGTACACGCCTGGCGCCCAAAATTATGAGCTTTGTCAAACCTTGAAAGACCCGTGGTCAATTCCCTTTCTAACATGGCGCCACTGTCTCTTCTGTATCATTTCAAAATTTTTACGCCATCTATGTATTCCCTCTGTAAATTGAGTATTGCAGGTTTCATTTACAGTAGTTTTTTATTTTCCCGCTAGAGGTCGTGCAGATGTTTCCGTGGTTAATATTTTCGATTCGATCGTTGACTTGTATAGAAGAATACAACATGGTGGACGAGTGAGCTGTTCTATATAAAGTAGAGTTGTCCTTACTTTACGCGCGCGTCACCATTTCTGTTTAGGGAATTTCGTAATGCCAACGTATTAACAAAAAAAAATCATTTTTAACTACAATATCCGTTATAAATACGTGTTTATGTTAGACTAATCTATGCATTTCACTAAATATAGATTCTGGAGGCAGAGTTGTGCGTTATTTAAAAAATAAAAGCAAAAACCTGTAGTGAAAAGGATTTTATTTTTGTTTTCAGGTTACCTGTCAATAGAAATTGGGGTTGTTTACTGTGTGCTACCGTTTTCATTATTTTATTTCTTTTTGCTACATTAGCCGTTAGTTTCATCACGAACTATTATAGATATTCTACGCCAAACGTTGTATACCTATACAAAAAATGCCATCGGGTTTACCAAGAAAAAGTAAACAACTTATTTCTAATCTTATTCGTTATTGTTAACGAGAAGGAGATGGCAATGCTCCACTTTTACCCAGCAGTAAGGAAGGTGAGTGGTTAACTTAGTAATATAAAAATTCGGATACGTAACCTGTTTTAATTTCACAGAGAGTTGCGATAAATATTAGCCTACGAACGGTCCACTTCTATTTAAAGTCCTTCAAAACAAGGCAATGTAAGAAACCCGTTAGCGATGTTGATGGTTTCACACAAGAAACGATTCGGAACCCCATCTCCGACATGATCCAACACAGTAAGTTAAAATGTACCTACGTTTGTATTTTAGAACATTTTACGCTTCAATCCCTTTTGCTAAAAGAGAAAGACGTATATTGTAATATGTCCGAAAGTTACTTATGTTTAGAACATTTTACGCTTCAATCTGAGACTAGGCGCCAAGGTGTCTTTTTGGATGAAAATTAAACCATCGATAATTATTATGGACAATGCTAGTTATCACAGTAGCTTATTGGAAAACTTGCCAAATTCTTCCTGTACCAGTGCACAACTAGCCACAGCACAAAAATGTTGGGTTTCCAAATGACGCATTTTCTTGTGCTTTCGTTGTATTTCTGCGGGCTATGCCAGGGTTTTTGTCCCACACAAGGTTTCCCGGACATCGCGACTGGTTGCGTGCGTAATATACTCTGTTCTCGTCTTTTCTTACGCACAAAATTATTAGTTTTCATTCAATTTACTGCGGACGTTATTAAGAAAAAACAAAATGAGTTTTTTTTTAAATTTTCCTTTACGTTACAAATAACTACCGAAACATTTTTTTAAGTAGTTGGTCAATAGTCGTTGATGTAATAGGTATCGATATGACTGCCTTATTCTCTTCCATTGCTTGCATGATGCTATGTAAACATACTTAGTGATGACGTCATAATACACCGATGACGTATGTGCGTGTTAGAAGCATTGTGTTGTGGATGTTCAATCGTTTTCGTTTATAATAAATTTACAATATTTACGTTCTATAAGGAAGCGGGATAGATTGACATCAGAGAGGAAGTGTGATGGACATGACATTTGCATTTGGTAAATTGTTACTGAGAAATAATTACTTAACATGCATGTCATTTAGCGTTTGTGCACTTTTTATTTTCAAAGTCCAATGCGCGCTTATATTTTGTAAGCGCCTCCTATTGCTCTTTAAGGTTTGGATTTAGAGAATATAGGCAACTGGTGATGCACATGTAATTCAATGGGGCGTGCATTGCCTCTGAACTTCATTCACCATTCCATAAGCAAGGGGTGTATATGATCGGAAAAATATGTATTAGGTAGATAGATGTACAGAGCATAGTTTCCATACAATATAAACTGATATTTTGTCCATTAATATATGTTTATAAAATCTAGAAAATATGCGTCAAAAGAGTTCATACTTTAGGAATTAATTGCAAAAATTAGGGAGCATTTTAAGCAATACGAGTGTATGGGATTGGTAGCCTGAATACTTATCTATATTTTGGCAATTCATGTGAAGCTCAAAAGTTTTCATAATAAAAGTGGTGAATGAAGTTCTGAAAAATGGACATGTAAACTGGCGAAATGGAAATAAACTACGCAACTGTGACTAATATCGCGGTCAACAGTGTAGCTTCTTTCTCACAGAGGGTGCCACCAAGAGTTTTATGAAATCAGTAAAAAATACGATAAAGACATATGAAATAAGCACTATCTTGCGATGGACTCGTTCTTACTTTTTAACTAGGCTAGTACTGTGTAATGGGGATAATAAAAGACAAAAATTTACGAGCAAAAAAAACTAGCAGGCTATGTAAGTTGCCTATGTTAAATCATTTAGCGATTCTCTTTCAAGGTTGAACAGAGCGTGTAATAGTAGAATTTGCTGACACTCCTTGCTTCGATATTTATTTGGTTTCCCTTTCCTATTCATTGCAAACGGTGTAACTACCCTCTACCTATCGTTGTATGAAATAAATAATAGAAATGGGGATAGGTAACATTCCTTTACAACAAATATCAAAATTTTTTTTAGAACAAAGGGTTTAGTTGTTGTATATTGTTGTTGATGTCTGGCAAGCGGCGACCTTGTGTGGGTGTTTATTTGTAATGCGATTTGTTTGACCGTCTCCCTTATTCTTTATCTTTGCTTATTGCAGATTAAAATACCGTAAATTTATAATCCATACTTTGTTGCAAATAAAATTTTTTGAACTGCAATTAAAGCTCTTTATTCAATGATAGTACCTATTATATATTAGTAGATATTAGTTTAGTGTAATGTGTAATAATTGACTTATACAGGGTGATTCAAATTCGAGGGCCACCATGGGGATCTCGGGAACTGTAAGAGATAGGTAGGTAGGTAGTTTACATTTGACAAAGACAAAATCCAGTTTTGAAACTGAAAAAATTCCGACTACTTTCGGAGAAAAATGAAATTTTACAAAATCGTTTTTATTTTTTACTGAAGTTATTAAAATAGTTATTTATATAACAAGAGCGCGAAGTTCAATTTCGCGTATTGAGACTGAAGGTATTTGGACGAGGCGAAGCCGAGTCAAAATACCTATCAGTCAAATGCGCGAAATAACTTCGCGCTAGCGTTATATACAATATTTTTTCTACAACTGAACCGATTGTTAGTTAAATTTGCTGTTTAAGTTCAACTTTGTCACGTGCGCGAAATACTTTTTTTCACTGTTGACGATTTCGCGCACGTTGTCAATAGCAACCTTACTTATTAATTAACCGTTTCAAAATCTAGTACTTCGCGTTTCGAAATCCGTCAGAAAATGACAGGTTTTTTGACAGTTGTAGAAAAAAGATATTTCAAAATAAATGACACATTATTATGACTACTTTTTTCCCTCTACAAGATGCTACTTTTAAATTTTAAGTTTGACGTTTCGTCTCCAGTCAACCATCTTTGTTTTTTCTTATGGAAGCAATTTTGAATGTTTGTGTTATTTAATAAAGAATTTTTTTCTGATTTCAAAAATATAAAACATCATCTATTTTTAATACGAAATAACGCTATTAATTCGTAAAAACGCAAGAAACTACTACGTACGTTACTTAAGACAGTTTTGTAGGCAAATTTTACAAACATTAAAAAAACTGATGTGTACATTTTTGAAATCAGAAAAAAATTCTCTATCAAATGACACAAAAAGTAAACATTAATTCCATAAGAAAAAAACAAAGTTGATGATAGTTAACCGGAGACGAAATGTCGGATTTAAAATTTTAAATTAGCATCTTGTAGAGGGAAAAAAGTAGCCATAATAATGCGTCATTTATTATTAAATATCTTTGTAAATAACTTCAGTAAAAACAAAAACGATTTTCAAAATGGATATCTCCGAAAGTAGGCAGAATTTTCAGTTTCAAAACTGCATTTTGTTAAGCATCAAAATACATAACTTTGCCAAATTTAAACTACCTACCTATCCTATCTCTTACAGTTCCCGAGATACCCATGGTGGCCCTCGAATTTGAATCAGCCTGTATATTACTAATTTACAAAAGACCATCCCTCGAATTTAAGACATGGGGAAGAGAGATACAAATGGGTATAAACGGCTAAAAAAATTTAAAAAAATCGGTATACCGTATGTCCCCGGATTGACTTTACAAGAAGAAAAACTTTTACTATACTTTTTGACAAAAATGCATTCTCCATAAAAGCTTTTGCTTGTTCTAATTCGAAATTTCACTAGCGTTTCAGAAAAAAATACAAAAAAAAACGAAAATATGGTTGAACTTTTTCCAAGTCCTAAAAGTCAAAACGCGTCTCTACTGTAATAACATTTCGTTAGTTACAGTCTTGCGAGTTGGTCGTTCCCTGTTATTTGAATAGGTACTCGGATCGTCATAAGCATAAGTATAACAAACACACTTCGTAATGACATTGAATAAAAACCTCTTTATTCAATGGTAACAATGAAAAAGAATTGAATTTCCAAAGGTGTTTTCTTAGATGTCGGCTTTTTACCGTTAAGTGAAGGAATCGAGAGTTTTACTAAGGGCCCTTCCAAACAAAAAGCCCCTGTCGCCACTTGTGATCCAATTTTCCCACCTTAATTTTGAAAGTCCCCCATGCCAATAATTACGCGATTTTTACTTGATAAGTTACGTTACATTACAAGCGTTGATTATTCTCCTCAAGTTGTGTGCGGTAGAGAGCTAATGATAATTTTGTTAACCTAGCAGTCTGTAAGGAACCGTGAACGACCTCGCGTTTGTGTTTTGTATCTTCTTGTCGTGTGGTTATGCAATTCAAATTGCATTTTTGTTTAAAGCTCCCTCTGCGTTGTTTGGGGCCCACTTAAAGAGAGGATAATGATTTAAATATTTGTATAGAAAACTGCTGTAGTTACGCTATTCATTATTAGGTACCAGCACATTCTAACGAAAAAAACTTTGTCCTTTATTATGGGTACTTCTCTTTTCAGGCAATCCCAGCCTTAAGTACATTCCACTAAAGTCACTAAATATAGAAAGTACCGCAATCCATTGGGCTCGTGTGTTAGAGAGAGAACGCATGATTCACTAAATATAGAAATTACCGCAATCCATTGGGCTCGTGTGTTAGAGAGAGAACGCATGATTTTTGCCCAAAAATGGCGGAAGTTCCCAGATTCTAGTAACTTTAATGTTAGGGATTGTTCCACCTGTTTGGAGATATCTGTATATATTTTTATAAAACATGACAGTACTATGAAGTTAGGTTATAAAAAATGACAGCTATTCAGATTTTATTTGTCAATTTTTTTAAGTTGGCAGCAAATTTGCCCAAAAATGGCGGATGATTGCGGTACTTTCTATATCTAGTGACTTTACATTCCACTTACTCCACTACGTTTTTGTTCTAATTCCAAAACAGGCTTATTCTCGGAATAAGTGCCCTAATACCCATTAATTGTAATGGCTTAAATTAAACTTACGCGGCATTTAGTTTCTTCGTATATTTACATACACTTCAAAAGGTAACACGAGCTATTTTTAGCAAGAATAATACGCAGCGCGTTTTTTTTCCAACCGACGCGCGCGACTACTAACATAAACATTAATAGACAATCGTTCCGCTCGTTTTAATTGTTGTTACGCTACGGGATTTCCTCCCATCCTACATCACTTTCTTATGTGCGCCATATTGAATTTGTATGTCACTCTATAGAAACCAGTGATATTAAATACTTAGTTTTTCATGTGGAAATTAACCTTGAATTTTTACAGCTAGAGGTTTTTATACCAAAAATTAAAGGCCGAACTGTAAAAATATTAGGGTTACAGTGGATACTTGAAACTCGATATCACATCATGATGGATATGTCCGATAACTGACCCCGTATGCGTATTCTGAAATCGGCAGAATATTCAACAATCATTGTAAAGAAAGTTTTGTAATAAACAATTTTTGGTATCTCAACTAACAAAATTAGAAAAGGTAGAAGGTTACCTATAAAGAATTATGATTCATCTGCTACTAGCAGGCGATCCTCAAAACATAGTGACCTATAAGGTGGATGAAAACGAGGTATAATTGCAGGACCATGGGGTTGTGGGAAAACCACCGTTATGATAACATTATTTTAGACTTAGAGCACCCCAACGGCTTACGCTTTGCAACCGTGTATGCGTATAGTACACCATGAGACAAACCGAAATCTAAATACGATGATAATGCCCATGTTGTACACCAACGCTCCAAATTTGAACTAATTGTAAGCACTTTTATATTTCACCTCCCATGTTCCGATTCCAAGATAAATTAACTGTATAGTTAACCATCCCATCAGTACACAACTGTTGTCAAATAGGTTACGCAAATTGGTTTGCAATAACCAAAATACACATAATAACGTGCGAGCAATATCTTAATTCAGAGAAGGCCGTGGAAATTTCTTAGGTTAGATCCACTTACCTGTGCAGTAAAATCACTCTTGTCCCTTAAACATAACAAGTCGGTACTCTCGAACGATCTTTTATCTTTCTGTTTGTACTCTAAATTACCCAATTATAAAGTTATACATTATTCATGAACTTTAAACAATGCTATTTAGTATGGACCTGTTGTTTAAGCGTTTTAATTGAAGACGTTATCTTCGAAAGGTCAACTATAACATAACATTGAATGATAGGCGGTAGGAAGGTCGCCGGGTCAGCTAATCGTATGAGTGATATGATTTTCAAGTCATTGTGGTCACATTTTAATTGGAGACGTCCTCCATGACTTGTTTTGGTACCTATACGCCTTGCTTTTTCGACCGTTTGTGTCCGATTCATACAAGAAGAGATTTGAAAATAGATATTATGGTTGGCCAATCAAATTACGTTGTGCGCTCACTAATAAACAAGGATTACGTTTAATTTGAATAACAATGGAATAAGTTTCCATTAAGTTTTTGCGTTGTAGCCTTCAGAATTATGTAATTACCGCGTAGTTAATAATTTTGCGTTATGGTTTTCGACATAAGTAATAATAATAACTATAGATTTATGTAAAAGTTTGACGGACACCTCGGATAAGTTGTGCTTACTGAATTTATATTCTAATTGACAGGTAAGTACAGATAATTACAAAAATATCTACAGTTAGAAACGATGGTAGCTGCCTGTCATAATGGCTCTTTTTCAAATGCTATAACTATCAATTGTATACTCTTGTATGAGCCAGTGACACACCCTAAGAGTCCCACAATCACAATGAAGAAGTCTTTTATCAAAATCCACGGTGTAATTTTCCTCGTGACCAGTTCCAAAATTGGCGGAATAATCAGCGCTATGGTGGTACTGCTAAAAGCCCCCACCAGCGCGATAAATAAGTCCAGAAATGGAATTATTTCTGCCAAGGTAACTGTAAAGTGGTACGGTTTAGTGGTTTTTGCAAGAAGCCTTTGCACTTACACGTAATTAAAACAAACACTGTCCTGAAGACCAATTCGACAAGCACCGGTCGTTTTAGAAACCTGAAGTGTTCGCGAACAGATGGAAACATGATATCGATGGGAATGTAAAACTGTAAGGCGAACGTGAAGAGGACGCCTACCGAAATGATCAGCTTGACGCATTGAGCCAATCTAAAAATCGCGTGCTTAGAAAACGGAGTGTTTACGTAAGCGCTTACATTTCATCGTTGGGCAGGTTAAGGGTGACACTTCCATGGATGGCATCCCCATACTTGAGGTAAGCTCCAAGACTGTTACAAACACCATCCCAACATTCAGCACGCCAAAAGTGCTGTTGAACTTCTGCGGCTCCTTCATTTCATTCTGTAAGGGTAGCACCAAACCAATTCCTGTAAATGTGAAGATAGCAGTACCAAAAGCGAGCGGCAACTGGTCCCAATCCGCAAAATTCTCCACCGTCGTAGCGCTTGGGGGCTGAGCCGCGTAGTACAAGGTAATGATAATTCCGGTGAGCATTAGAATATTGGCCAACATCGACAAAGGGGCCAAGAATTTTAAATTGCGAACCAAGCAACTCAGGTATACCGGAATTAGGACCACCGCCATGTGTTGATGAATATCGTACTCGTACCTGTAGTAGTCCAAAATCTGCAAGTTGGGTGAGTGCACGGCTAACGAACCGTGAGGAAGTTCACCTGCTTAACGTTGGTCGAAATGAAAATAAAATAGAGGCAACAAAATCCAAGCTGCGTCAAGCACAGGAATAGATTAACCAATCGTCGAGAGAGTGCCGAGTACTTCTGCAGGCTGGAAGGTCCAGTGGCAAAACACAGCTCGACAGTCGTAGCGAAACCGGGATTCTTTGTCAAACTCAACTTCTCTTGCAATGTCAGGGAGGCGTTCAGCTAAAAGTTCCAGTTGAATCGTCCGAATGGGGTCGCAGACGCTATACGCACCAGAAGGTGCTGGCTGTGCACGCACATCAGTTCTAAAATCGGAATGAGAAAGCTGCCTAAGACCACTCCCGAATTCTTTAAAGAGGTGCCCAGCGCAAACATTCCAGGGCCAACATTACCCCTGAACAGGTGCATGAGAGTCTCTGAAAAACTTTTAAACCGGTATCAATCACGGCCGATGCGAATCGCAACTGACCTTGTCGGATGCTTGACGTCCCCGCCTTGTACGCCGCAGTTGTTCCTGAGAATTTGCGCAATCCTGTGACCATCCTGCAACATTACGGGATCTGTAGATTGGAAACGGGGACTTGGCGCGTCATCGTGCCTGTAAATTAGTCATAGATTCACTTTAATGAGTGTTTCTTTTTAATGAAGGATGGATTGTGCACAGATGCTGCAGCTCGCATACTCTACCTGTTGTCATTCACTGCGATTGTGTACACCTGACCAGATTTTGCGCTTTTCTCCCTATTCCCTTGAGATCCCATTCTGTAACCAGAAAATGAGTTAATTTTCGGGGGTAGCTCTGTTCGTACACATACAACGTTAGTTAATGTCAAACGCTTTTCGGATCCGCCTCTTAAATGCAAAGCCATTAAAATTGTTATTTGATCGAATTGAATTAAATGTAGGCTACAAAGTGGAATAGCACGGGAGATATAAAGTTAAAAAGATTATCCCCTCAAGTGCTTATGTATGGTATTGGATATGCATCTCTGAAATGGAAAACAATAACTGAAACTACGGTTGAAGTTGAAACTCTTTAAAAACCGAAAAAACTGGAACAGGAACCAAAAATTACTGCAGCCACAGAACCAAAACCGGTATCGAGACCCTTATTTTATATAGGATGCAACCGCTGGTCTGTTGGTGTAATCATATACCATGTTAGATCGAATTAGTTGCCATTAGACGTTTGAACATGACAGCCTTTTAAATGTAAAGCCATTAAAATTATTATTTGGTTGAATTGAATTAAATTTAGATTACAAAGTGCTATTCCGGCTGGGAGAACCAAGGTAAAAGGATTGTCCCTTCAAGTGCGTATGTGTGGTATTGGATATGCATCTCTGAAATGGAAAACAATAGCTGATACCACGGCTGACGTTGAAACTCTTAAAAAACCGAAAAAAACTAGAACAGGAACCAAAAATTACTGCAGCCACAGAACCAAAACCGGTATCGGAACCCTAATTTTGTATAGGGCCCAACCCCTGATCAGTTGGAGTAATCATATACCATGTTAGATCGAATTAGTTGGCATTAGACGTTTGAACATAACACAGCCTTTTAAATGTAATTCCTTCGTTAATAAAATACTGCGTCTCTAAAGGATTAACATCTGCTCATCTTGAAACTAATTAGCTTACGCAGCGATAAACTTAATCTTTTAACACGCAAATAAAATTTTACATTAAAATAAACAAAGCCATTAATTAAACAACGTTAAAAACATTAAATATCATATCAAATATAAAATTAACCTCGAATTCAAATAATATGATCGGATTTGCCTTAATCCAAGAATTGACAACCACATTTACGTTTTAAAAATAATCGAAATTAAACATACAGGGTGGTGCAATATTACTGTAGGTGGTGAAACCACACAAAACAAAGCTTTCCAGATTCTTATGTACGCTTTCTGATCGTTTCGCAACTTTGCTAAGCTTTGGTAGTGTTTTTGGTCAGTTGCAGAATTTCATAAACTGCTCCCGGAGCTAGGTGAGCCTAAAACTGCTAGTTGCACACAGAAAATATTAGAAGGGGGCCTTTAAGAATCGCAAACAGTCTCCAAGAGCTTCAAGGGTTATTCCAGGAGCTGTTGGATTCTTAAAGGCTTATTAGCACTCTAAAGGAGGATCTGCGAAAACTATAATTGTTATTAATTATATAATTGTTAGAAACAGTCAAAATGCGAATAATTAAAGCTTGAACACTAACGTGGAAATTAGTTTAGGTGAAACAGTTTTTGTGATATCAAATAAACTAAACTGCCTATGGTTTTGAAGAAAGCTCACCGTAAAGTTATACCACTAAGCACTTTATTCCGCAATTTTTCTACTCGCGCCTATTATACATGGGAATGGGATTAATTATTTACATTAATTTATTTACAAACAAAAAACCTCATTGCAAAAAGTTTAATTAAGCAGACCGCCAAAATATACGTTTTAATGGCAACAAAATGTGCATTATTCACTATTTTTATTCTCGCTTCAGCGCTTTCATTCTTGCCCGAGGCTTGAAGGAGAACCATATGTGCGACGTTCCACACGGTGAGTATAAATCAACATGGCGGGTTTCTGGTTCGGGCATGGATATTTGTAAATGTTTAGTGGGTTGGGTTATTAGAGCAGCCTTGGTTGAAACCCCGCCCACTCAAAAATAAATACCTAAATAAAAACTTCATATACCTACCAACAATTATAAACCTTGACCTAGGGGATTTTCCACTAGTTTGGTATAATTTGCAAACCGAGTGTGTGATTGAAAATGTTTGTTATAAAAATAAAAATATTTCTTTTACAATTAATAAAATGTCTTAAATTAACATGAGTTAATTCTAATATCTTCTAACACCAAAACTTAGTGTATAAAATAAAATAAAAATCTTATGAGTTAAAGTCTCGAGCTTCTGCTCCACGTCTAGGATCATCGCGTCAAGTGCATTTTTACCTACTCGCCAGTTCGCCCTTCGCACCTAAATCGTAGACATCGGTTAACCATTCCATTGTTGATTCGCAATAAAGTGCCCATCTAACTCCGGCGGTCATACGGCGTTATTCTTCAATTGTGTTTCCGACAAATTCAATTTTGTAGTCGCTTGGTGTATTTTCTCGCCCACATAGTAGAATAATGTCTGTACATGTGTCTCGCCGCTCTTTTTGTTCAACACCGATGCGGTACAGTAACACACGAATCGCGCCTTCCATACTAGTCACGTGACTGAATCTGAGGAATCAAATTCTTCTGGCGTTTGGTCAATAAAAGGCTTTACGCTGCCACCATGTAGTCAAGACTTTGTAGTGTATACTTAACCCCCAGGTTCTACGCTAACTTCACACTACAAGAACACGGAAATAAAGGCAACCCGGTGACGTTTGAAAATGGCCACCTTCACGTTAGTTATAAACAACGGTTTGACCTGAAGCACAGTAGGGAAGGAACGTAAAATAAAACACTCAAATTGTGAAAAGTTTGTTTAATAATGATCGCAATTAT